TATGCTGAAATTAGGGTAAAGCAAAATCCTCTGAGAAGTGGGGAGCAGTCTAGGGAATGTGGGAAAATGGAGTAGGGCCTCCCAGGGAGGAGGCTGCCGGTCAGAGACCAAGGCTAGACATAGATGTTGCAGACTGAAGCTGGGTGCAGGGTGAGTGTCCCGGATCTAGAGGAATGAGCAGTTCGCCTGAGGGTGAATGTGAGAAATGACAAGTGAAACTGAGCCTTCAGACAGGCTGCCGCAAGGACCCAGCCAGTGCAGTGCCAGGCATGAGTGTCTTGGGTGAGCATGGAAAAACCTAGAGACTCAGGGTTCCAGACAGAACCATTAGGCTGCCTGGTGGCCTCTAGTTATTTAAAGGAAATGTTGACTTCAGGGACCTTGGAAGTGCCCTACTCCTCCTCAGCCAGGACAGGTAAGACCATTGCTGCATCTGGCTGTGACCTGGAGAGTGGCTGGGTCCTCTTCTATGATCCTAATTTCGCCATAAGAGAGGGGCCATAGTTATGGCACCGGGGGCGGGATGTCTGCATTGGAGGCTGAAGAGAAAGCAAAGATTACTAAATTCCTTTCCAGTAACAGTTGTCAGGTATCTCTGAGACAGAAGGTCATTTTCAGCTCCATAGCAAGGGGATCATTTGTTTTAATTTAAATTCAATTAATTAACATATAGTATATTATTAGTTTCAGAGGTAGAGTTCAGTGAGGGGATCATTAATGGCACTGGCCAGTGGAGTGAGGGGCCTTATAGTTAATGAGTCTCCCATTCATCTGGGGATGGAGGGGTTTTCTGCCTGGGCTGGAGGCTGAGGACAGCCAGCCCCCCCCCGCCAACAACTGTAGATTCTCTCTGGATTCCCCCTTCCCATGGGGGGTGGAGGAGTGATCAGGTGGAGTCTTAGCCCAGCTGCTGAGGGCCTTGGGTGGTGGGGATTGCTGGGAGCAGTCATATCTGAAACCACAGAACCCCAAAGCAAGCTGAGAGAGCTGAAATCAGCTTTATCAAGGAGTGCCAGAGACACAGAAGGCCCGCCTGGGGAAATGGCTAGGGTAGAGGCTGTTCCCAGAGCCTGATCAGCTGCCCTCGACTTCTCTGTGAAGCAAAGTGCATGGGAGGGCTGGTTGGGTTTTAAGGGCTCAGATGGTAGCGCACACAGTCATTGATTCTGTGTTTGTGTGTTTTTTTTTTTTTAAGGAGGTTCCACAGCTAGATCTGAAGGCAATTCCAGAAGGTTTCAGAAATGCTTTACACATAGACAGCAGCATTTGAATAGTGACTTTTTTTTTTTAGTAATCTCTACACTCAACATGGGGCTCAAACTTATGACCCTGAGATCAAGATTCACATGCTCTACTGACTGAGCCAGCCAGGCGCCCCAGAATAAGTGACTTCCATTTATTTATTTGTTTGTTTGTTTAAAGATTTTTATTTATTTATTTGACGGAGAGAGAGACCGCGAGAGAGGGAACACAAGCAGGGGGAGTGGCAGAGGGAGAAGCAGGCTTCCCGTGGGGCAGGGAGCCCGATGTGGGGCTCGATCCCAGGATCCTGGGATCCTGACCTGAGCCGAAGACAGACGCTTAATGACTGAGCCACCCAGGCGCCCCGAATAAGTGACTTGTAAAGATTAATTCTTAGAGAATAACTTTTATCTAGATCTTTACATTAAAAAATTATCAGCTTTGGTAGGATAATTTTGCAAAGTTGTTTGCATTTCTGCTCATTAGTGACAACTAAAACATAGTGGCAACAGATAAATGTTTAATATTTGGGAAATGAAAGAAAACTATTAAAAGAAAGAGTTTAATTCTCCCTAAGAAAAATAGAACTTGAATAAATGGAGAGACAGTTTCTGTTTCAGAATCAGAAGATTAATGTAGTTAAGATGACATAATATCTGGTCTAATTTATGGAGTTAACACAAATTAGATTCTCAATATGATGTTTTTATGGAAATTGACAAAACCATAATAAAATTTCTATAGAGAAAATAATAGGTAAGCACACTAAAGAGTTTTTGGAAAAGGAGTAAGCCAATGATGTGATAAATTATTCCATTAATATTTAAAATCTGGCGCAAAGGAGATTTAAGTTGTATTAGATTTAAAGCAGCACAGTAGATTGATAAAATCCCAATAGAGATTACAACAGTTCTAAGTTAGTTACAAGATTAACACACAATAGTCCAGAATTACAGAATAATAAGAAAGGAATCCTATTTAATAGGATTATTATTGAGGGTGCCTGGATGGCTCAGTCGGTTAAGTGTCTGATTCTTTTTTTTTTTTTTTGAAGATTTTATTTTTTTATTTGACAGAGGGAGACACAGCGAGAGAGGGAACACAAGCAGGGGGAGTGGGAGAGGGAGAAGCAGGCTCCCCGCCGAGCAGGGAGCCCGATGCGGGGCTCGATCCCAGGACCCTGGGACCATGACCTGAGCCGAAGGCAGACGCTTAACGACTGAGCCACCCAGGCGCCCAAGTGTCTGATTCTTGATTTTGGTTCAGGTCATGATCTTAGGGTTGTGAGATCGAGTCCCTAATGGGGCTCTGCACTGGGTATGGAACCTGCTTAAGATTCTCCCCCTCCCTCTGTCCCTCCCTCTGTCCCTTTCCTCCTCCCTCACTCTCTTAAAAAAAGAATAGGATTATTATTTAGAAGAGTTGATGTAAAGCATTTCTGTCCCTTTCTGACCTTATTTGTCATAAGCTCCAGATGTTTTAAAGAATTATAGTTGAAGATATCTCTTTTACAAGTGAAACAAAATGGTATATTATAGTTATCCCACTATGGTGGAGGAGTTAATTTCTCAAGTACTAAAATTATGAAAGGCAAATTGGAAGGGTCTGATCATATAAAAATTTAGCAGTGGCAACCTTAAAGTTCTTGGTAAAAAGGGGGGAAAATGCAAAACTATTTGAAATAAACAAGGCTGGTAATGATTGATTTTTAAAAGTATAAAGAACAGTTATAAATCTGTAGGTCAGTAACCATTCTCTACTATAGATAAACAGTTAACAAATACAAACAAATAGAAAGTAAGGACTAAGTAAGGAAATATAAGCATCAAGCCAACATTTGGGAATACTTCAGTCTTGTTAATAAAGAAAGTGCAAATTAAAAGCATAAGTCTATTTCATACCTACTGAAGTAGCAAAAGTGATAAAACTCCTTGTTAGTGTGCTTGTAGGGAAATAGACACACTCACAGATTGCTGGTGTGTTTCCTGGAGAGCAGTAGATCGAAATGAAACAAGCTGCCAAGAAAATTATTGTGTCCTTTGAGGCAATAGTCCCAAGGGAATAAATCCCAGGAAAATATTGTAGAAGATGGAAGGTTATTTGTACAAAGGTAATTGTAGCCATGCTATTTATATAGTGAAAACCGGCCATTACCTAAGCACCTGACAATTTGATGATGGTCATACAATCTAGAAAATATTAATATCCCATCATATTAATAACTATTAAAACCATAAATCTGAGGACTTTGGCTATAATTGTAGGTAGCATATGTAAGTTAAAAAGAGGAATGAGTTTGATATGTGGACGCTGATAACTGACAAATTACTTTTGTCTAATGAAAACAACATTGCTATCAGGGTTTCTCGAAGATCTAAATCAGTGCTTCTTGGACCTTAATGTCATTAAGTCATTTGGGGATGTTGTTGAAAGGCAGATTTTGATTCAGTATAACCGGGGTGGGGCCTGAAACTCTGAATTTCTGACAAGCTCCCAGGCGATGGTGAGCTACTGGTTCTCCCAGTACATTGTGAACACCGAAGACCTAGATCTCTGCCATCCGGATGGTAGCCACTAGGCCCAGGTGGCTATTCAAATTTAAATTAATTAAAATAATGTAAAATCGAGAATTTAGATCCAAAGTCTTACTAGCTACGTTTTAAGTACTTGGTAGCCTTATTTGGAAAGCTCAGATTATAGAACAATTCCATCATCATAGAGCGTGTTCTCTTAGACAATGTGGACCTAGGTCATCAATGTCTTAAAGTGCAGGGATTTCTATCTCTTTTTCTGTAGAGTTGTTTGAAACATACAACTAAGAGCTTGTTCCACATTTGATAAATAGAGACACCTGGGCGGCTCAGTTGGTTAAGGGTCTGCCTTCAGCTCAGGTCATGATCCCAGGGTCCTGCGATCGTGCCCCGCATTGGGCTCCCTGCTCAGCAGGGGAGTCTGCTTCTCCCTCTCCCTCTGTCCACCCTCCCGACTCATGCTCTCTCTCTCTCTCTAATAAATAAATAAAATCTTTAAAACATTTTGATAAATGGAATCTCTTTTCTCATTGACTTTTATTGTCAGTCCATACACATATTTCTTTTAAAGATTTTATTTTTAAGTAATCTCTGCAGCCGACGTGGGGCTCAAACTTGCAGCCCTGAGATCAGGTGTCACATGCTCTATGGACTGAACCAGCCAGGTGCCCCAAGTCCATAGATGTATTATCCTAATTATTATTTGTCCCTCAGTGGGCAATCATTTCCAATAAATTGATCTTAGGTTCTTTGTCAACTTCTTCCCCTAGTAATGTATACTAGAGGAGATACTGTTTAAAGAAGTATTGTGACAATTTAAAATATAGATGTGTATGATTTGTGAAAAAAATACATCTCTTGGGTGGCTCATTCAGTTGAGCGTCCGACTTGGTTTCTGCTCAGGTCGTGATCTCGGGGTTGTGGGATCGAGCCCCCACTTCTGGCTCTGCGCTCCATGGGAAGTCTTCTTGTCCCTCTCCCTCTGCTTCTCCCCCAGAGTGCGCATGTGCTCTCTCTCTCAAATCAATCAATCAATCAATCTTTGAAAAAATACATCCCCTGTAGCCCCATTTAGGTGTTTCATCAATTTATATTTTTAAAGTGTGTTCTCTAAGCAGGATTGGTTACCAGAGGATGTGGGAATTGATAACTGAAAAGTTCCCTGGATGATTTGTTTCTCTTCACTTCTGTGAAGTGGAAACACTGACAATTGTTGTTTTCTTCCAGGAATTTGTGCAAATATTCTCACAACGTTCTCTCAGAAGAGAACTTCAGGATCTTGAAAAACCATGAGCTCTCTGGACTGAACAAAGAGGAATTAGCAGTGCTCCTCGTCCAAAGTGACCCTTTTTTTATGCCCGAGGTAAGTTATGATTCCTTAGTTTGAGCAGCAAAGAGAGTATGATTGGCAGCGTTGTGTCATGGATGTGTTGGGAGAGGAACACAAAAGACTCAAAGTTACCACCAGACTCTGCAGATAGCCGTCAACAGCTGGCTGTTGCCAAGTGACCTAAAGATTCCAGCAATTTCCTTCCTATTTGAGGTGATCTGAAGATACAGTAGTAGGACTAGTGGATGCTGTCCATCTAGGCAGCTTCCTGGAAGGAGATGGTCTTTGAATTGAAGTTTTGGAAGATGATAGGGTATATTGGTTGAGGGGATAGGCAAAGCTGTTGCACCAAAGACACCCCAGAATGTAGTGATTCAAAGAAAATATAATTTTATTTCTTTGTCACTTGACAGTCTAGATCCAAGGTCATCAAACTATGGCCTAGGGGCCAAATCTGGCCTGCCACCTGGTTTTACAAATAAGGTTTTGTTGGAACCCAGCCACACTCATTCATTTGCATATTGTCCATTCCTGCTTTCTTAACACAAGAGTAAGCTGAGTAGTTTCACAGTCCTGACTCTGCCACCGACTACTTGTGTGATCTTGCACAAAGCAGGTAATCCTTCTGGGTCTCACTTCATTTGCTGTTGTGCATTCGTTCGACTAACATTTAGGAGTGCCTGCAAGTGGTAGGCACTGAGTTAAATCTTGGAGGCAGCAGTGGACAAGACACACTCCTGCCCTAAAAACCTCAGAGTGCTCACACTGTCTCACTTTGCCTTGCCCTGTGAGAACATACAAGCATCAGGCACACCTGACTTCCTGGTTTATAAGTCTGTAAAATTTAAAGGTGCTTATTAAAGGTAGAAATGCTGTTATTTGTCCCGCCCCAGTCAAGGCCAGGAGCATTCTTACCTACTCATTAGAACAGTCCTAGGATTGTTAACCGAAGTGTCATTTGTGAAGTTGCTAGTTGTTCTTTTTCTGGAGGACACTGGCTCTCAAACTTCAGTGAGCCTCGGAATCGCCTGGAGGGTTTGTTAAACCACAGTGCTGAGCCCCACCTCTGGTGACTCTGACTGTAGACAGGGGCGGGGTCTGAAGTTTTGCATTTCTGATAAGTTTCCAGGTGGCGGTGATGTTGCTGGTCCGGGGACCACACTTCAAGCCCTAGATTGCAGTAAACCACGCTGATCTGGTTTGCTCAGTCTATTGAAACAACTTATAAATGTTTTGATCTTTGGGATTCTTTTATGTAATGAATCAAACATTTCGCAGCTCATTTTATATTTTGCACAACACGTTTACATATTTTATTATTTAATCTGCTCAATAACTTGGATTAGGGGGACAGAGCAAATATTTTCCTCCACAGCAAAGGAAACAGAGACGGGGGAGTAGGTAATTCAGGGGAGGTCACATAGATGGTTCTAGGGCTGTGGCTGGGGACTTTGAAATCCGTTTCTTCCAGTCCTGCATCATACTGTCTGGCCCCCGTGACAGTACTTGAGTAAAAAATACATATGCCCTCTTTTCAGTAAGAACTATGTGTCTGCGGAGCTATTTACATAGAAATAGAAAAATTACCTTCTTTAGATGACCTTTTGAGAAGCCTTGTCACGTTCTGCCTAGCAGAGACAACAGCTGCCAAGTAAGACCCGCATGTCCTTTTTTTTTTGTGAAGATTTTCTTTTTAAGTAATCTCTACACCCAGTGTGGGCCTTGAACCCATAATCCTGAGATCAAGAGTCACATGCTCCACCGTCTGAGCCAGCCAGGTGCCCCCCACACTTCCTTTTAATTGCAGAATGACTTGATAGCCTTCCTCTTTGGGGTTCCTTTGTAATGTAGGGCTCCCTTTGGGTCCTGTTTGGTCCTACCTGTAGCTGGCCATGGCCTTCTTATTTTGATTCTTCCAAAAGGTTATTAAATTCATGCCTCATTTAGTTAGTTTGCAGGCCTCTTCTACCCCAAATAAATCATCAGTTGAATACAACTCATTGTAGACTGTGGAAGACACATGTATTTTTTTTTTTCCTTTGGTATATCTCTGCTTACTGCCAACATTTTTGTTGACTTAGGCTTTCCTTAATGACTGTGTGGCTGATGCGGGAAGGTGTACTGTGTCTGGCTATTGTTTGTTTCTCTCTTCTGCAGATATGCAAGAATTATAAGGGAGAGGGTCGAAGAGTGGTTTGTGATAAGTATCCACAGTGTGAAAGGCTCCACATCTGTGAGCACTTCACCCGAGGGAACTGTGGTTATACCAACTGCCTCAGGTCCCATAATCTGATGGACAGAAGGGTGCTGGCCATCATGAGGGAGCATGGGCTCAGCTCCAGCGTGGTTCAAAACATCCAGGACATCTGCAACAGCAAGCACAGCCCAAAGAAACACTCCGGGCACAGAGGTAACTGCTTTCAATGTTTTCTTTAACAGAAGAAACAGAAATAAACAAAATCACAAGGGAAGTGTAACTTCACCTATAATCATTCTATCTCACCACGTGAAACTATTGTTGCTTTCAGACATTGTCTATATGTATGCATAATTTTTACTTCATTATAAGCATAGTATATATGCAATTTTGCAATTTGATTTTCATGCTAAGTACTATCCAACCCCCCAGTTTGTTAAAATGTTTATCATTTTTCTAAAAGCTAATCTTTTTTTTTCCACCAGCTGTTAACATTTTGTCCCAATAACATTTTGTCGCCATTGTTTTGTCACTTTCTCTTGATCTTTGTGCACATATCAACACTGACATGCACACATATGCCATTTTTTGGGGAGACCGTTTGAGGTATGCGGTCATCAGGAGCCCCCACACCTGTGTATATAAGCACGCACTTCCTTAAAACAGGGCCACTCTCTTCCATAACCACAATACAATTAATACAGGAAACCCAGCATTAATGCAAAACTCTACACAATTTAATTCACAGTCCTCAGTACTATTTCTTTAAAAATGTATTTATTTTTACCTTTTGTGTTCTGGTAAGAGATAACATAAAATTGATCCTTTTAAACATTTTTTAAGTGTAGTTACAACAGTTCACACTGTTGTCGGCCATCACCACCATCCATCCCCAGAACTTTTCCCATCTTCCCAAACTAAAACTCCATACCCAGTAAACAATAACCCCATTCCTTCCTGTGCCCGCCCCTGGCAACTTGCCATTCTGTTTTCTGTCTTTGTGAATTTGACCTCTGCAGCATCCTCACAGAAGGGGAGTTATATAGGATTTATACTTTTGTGATGAGCTTATTTCACTTCCATAATGTCTTCAAGGTTCATCCAACCCATGTTATAGCATGTCCTTCCTTTGGAAAAAAAAAGACTCTCTAAACAATATTATATATAATTTAAAAATTGCGGTAAAAATATACCTAACAAAATTTGCCATCTAGCCTTTTTTTTTTTTTAAGATTTTATTTATTTATTTGACAGACAGTGACACAGCAAGAGAGGGAACACAAGCAGGGGGAGTGGGAGAGGAAGAAGCAGCCTCCCCGCTGAGCAGGGAACCCGATGCGGGGCTTGATCCCTGGACCCTGGGATCATGACCTGAGCCAAAGGCAGACGCCCAACGACTGAGCCATTTTTGAGTGTTCATTGGCATTAAGTACACTCACATTGTTTTGCAGCCACTCTCTAAAATTCACTTCGTCCTGCAGAACTGAAACTCTATACCTATGAAATACCTCCTTCCCTCCTCCGCCCAACCCCTGGCAACCACCGTTTGACTTTCTGTTTCCACAAATATGACTACTCTAGGTGCCAAATATAGATAGAATTGTAGGTTATTTGCCTTTTGGTAACACTGGCTTATTTCGCTTTGCACAGTATTCCACTGTATGTGTATGCCACGTTTTGTTTATCCGTTCATCCCTGGTTGGGTACTTGAGTTGCTTCTACCTTTAGCTATTGTGAGTAATACTGCTATGAACATGGGTATACAAATATCTGCTTGAGGCCTTGCTTTCAGTTCTTTTGGTTATGCACCTGGAAGTGGAGTTGCTGGATCACGTGGTCATTCTAGGTTTAATTTTTTGAGAAACTGTCATCCCATTTTCACAGCAGCTCCGCCATTTTGTATTCCCACCATCAGTGCACAAGGGTTCCTTCTAGTTTCTCCACTTCCTCATCAATACATGTTATTTTCGGTTTTTAGGTTAACAGCCACCCTGATGGGTGTGAAGTGATCAGGTCTATTCCTGAACCATTTTCACATTGTTTAATGATATTAACCCTTGCAATTTTTTGAGTCTTTGTGAAATGGATGTGAAAGAGGTGAATTTTATAAAGCAAATAGAATACATAATTCGAAGATTCTGTATTACATAATAAATAATTACACCTCCTTATATTTGAGAAATTCTTTATAATTAAGCAGGGATTTTTCGCCAAAAATATCTCATCATTGTTCCTGACAGCAAAGCTATGAAGAAAGAAAGGTGTATTATTAGCCTTATTTAATTGATAAGGAGATGGAGGCTCAGAAATTTTATTTATTTATATTTATTTTTTAGGATTTTATTTATTTATTTTAAAGAGAGACAGCATGAGTGGGAGGGACAGAGAGAGAGAGAGAGAGAGAATCTCAAGCAGACTCTATGCTGAGCATGGAGCCCAATGCAGGGCTCAAACCCGGGACCCTGAGATCATGACCTGAGCCAAAATCAAGAATTGGATGCTTAACTGACTATATGCCACCCAGGCACCCCGAGGCTCAGAAATTTTAAATGACTTTTATTGCAAGCAGTCTTAAATCATTTTTACTATAAATAAATAAAAAGGATGTTTCCAAGGCCTCACAGCACTAGGTAGCGGCAGAACTAATGTGTTCTGGTCCCTCCTCTGGTGTTTTTTCTCCCACATCACAGTGCTGTCTGAACAGGGGAGGGGAACCTCTGGAGGGTTGTCTTCTGGCATAGTTTCCCAATATAAATTCATTGTACGTGAGAGAGATCTTTATTTATTATCCCTTCTGGTTAATTTACTTAATTATTTTGTTGGCAGGAGAAGGATGTTTGCTTTTACTCTATTACTGCTGCTCTCTGAGTTTGGAAGAGGAAGGCCCTCTCTCTCCCCTTCTCCACACACAGTAGCACGGCTCATATGCCACATACATGTACACACAACACACATACCACACATATACGCTTGGACCACACACGTGTACACGCCACACACACACATGCATTCACACATACCTCACACCACACATGCCACACATGCACATCTTATTGACAGACACATCGCACACACCAACTACATCTCTCTCTTTCACATAGGCACACCCCTCACGCACGTACACCACACATACACGTCTTATACACATATACCCCTCATGTATGCACCCACACCCAGCACAATACACACCACACACACACACTCACAAACATGCATGCTCACTCATTCCCTCTTCCCAGGGAGTGTGACTCATCAGATTTCTTGAGAGAGGCTAATTCTTTTTGACATTTCTCACTTAAGCTTGGGCATTTGGGGACTAGATGAAGGACTGTGGAAAAACTTCTAGTTTAAATGGAATCAGACCTTTACACTATGGTTTTATTTATTTATTTATTTATTTATTTATTTATTTATTTATTTATTTATTTATTTATTTATGGATCCTGAATTTGCTTGGGAACCTTCATCACAATATGGGCAAAATCTAAATGACTTGAAAATCCTCCCTGACTTGCACTCCTGTGCATCTCTGTTCGCCATAGCGGTGAACGTTGACTTTGAACCAGAGCATAGTGGACAAGCCCCACCTGAGAGTTTGGGGGCTTGGGGGCTTCATCAGAGGCCTGGGAGAGAAGTCTAGAAGAGCCAGGGTCACTCTGACTCTCATCCTTAGGCCGTGGGGGTGGTGTTTCCTGCTCCTCCAGCAGAAAAGCAGATTCCTTCATCATCTTTAACACCCTTCTCAAGATTTTTACACACCAGATTGGGACACGTAATTTGACAGAACTCAGATGGTGAACTTTGGAAAAGCTGAGGAGGAACTGCGGTGAGAACCCAAACCTGTTAGCGCTCATTTTCCTGGTTTCGTTTTTCTTTTCCCAGCTCCTCCAGCCTATCGTAGAGACCCGGCCTACAGAGGTAGAAGCAAGAGCAGAGACCGATCATTTCAGGGAAGTACAGAATTTCTTCCATCGGCTTCAGCTCCTACTCCAAATCAAATCGGCCATAAGCCTCCCCTGGATGATGTGCCCGTAGAGGACCTGGCCCACAAGTTCGTGCGTTTGGGAAATCAGGATGGCCCTCAGCCCTCCCCGGTCCTGCCTCAGGCTGATAATCTCAGAGGAAGAGATCAAGTGGGAGGAAGCCTGCATTTTTCAGAGAATGGCAGCCCAGAAGATCTCTGTTATGGGAATCAAGGTAGCATTTACTTCCCTTCTGATTCAGCGCCTGCTTCCAACCAGAAGGGCCCTGCAACCTGGCTGAATGGCAAAGGCACTGGTAGAGAGAATTTGTTTCCTCAGAGTCAAGCTGCCCCTGGCTCTCCTCTAGGTTCTCCACCTGATGCCATAACCGCCAGAAAGAGTGTGGGCATGCTCTCCTCGGACGGCGTGAACACCGAGGGCAGAGGTGGAAAGCAAAATGTCCAGTATGTCCCGCTTTTTAATAATAATGTTGATGGAACGGCCATAGACATAAGTTCCACAAGGCCTTTCAATTACAAAACCGCAACCAGTAGACAGAGGGAAAAACCGTTGCCTAGGAATCGGGACACCGGAACCACGCACAGTAATCTCCAAACCACTGGCAAAATCACAGATGGCGATGATCCGGCAGTGGCATCTGTTAATGGTCAATACAGAGAGAAGACAATTTGGGCTAATAAATCTGTCCACGGTGCACTAAATGGCTCTAGTCAAGTGGCGGATGAAACCACCAAAGTCAATACAGCTGGTGCCACCGGTTTTGACTTCACACTGACATTCAGAGGGGATAAAAATGCGATGTGCTTTGGAAGTCAGAGTCTGGAAACCCAGGTCCTGCCAACACCTCGGGAGACCACTGTCCCCACCCCACAAGTCCGTACTCAGTCCAAGATGCCACCTTCCACATCCTCCTCAAGCAACAGAGCTGCAGCCTATGCAAGCCATGGTCAGAACTCTGCCAGTGAGCTTGCAAGGACCCCAAGATGTGCTCTGTGTAAGTCACCGAAGGACAAAGGGGGCCCCATGTCTTGTGTCGACAGCAGAACAGTTGTGGCTGGTGGCCTCTTTGTGGACGTTCCCCAGTAGTTACTAAAGGGCATAGAGTTGGAGGGTTTGGTTAAAGGGTGGTACCGGTGAGGAGACTGATGGGAAGATTCAAGTACTGACACTTGAACCATGTGGAGTAAGCTGCCACATTTACTGAGAACAGGAGTAGTTTGGTCATGGTTTAAGCAATAAACATACCTCTCACATGACCCGAACATCCATGTTTGCTTTGATGGAGGGGCTGTCTAGGCTTTCATGAGCAACACACGAATCCGGAATTTTCTCGAACATGGTGCTAGTTACAGACGCTTTTTCCCATTGTGAGGTCAGGTATCTTGATTTTTGGTCTAAACACTAAGATCAGCATACGCGCATCTTCTTTTGTTTTATAGATTCTGCATCGGACGTTGAGAGTACCGGCTCTTCCAGGATGGATGATTGTGGCTCAAAGGAAATTTGTCTTGACCATCTGTGTAGGGATTGTCAAGTTGGTGGGTAACTTAGGGACTTTCTAGAAGCCAACATTTACTGAGCATTTGCTGTGTATTAGATGTATTGCCAAGAAACTTATGTGCATCGTCTTTAAACTTCACGTCAACCCTAGAAGCAGGTTCTGTTGTGAACCCATTTTACAGATGTGGAAACTAGAGGTACTAAGAGGTTAGAGTAGCCAACTTGGGTTTTGACGCTAAATCGCCCAGCCAGCCTATGTTCTTGACCACTGAATGATATTATACTTTCTCCTTTCGCGTTCACTTTTAAGTGAAATATTATACTTTGTCAGGGGCCCTCTTTTCATATACTAAAAGCAAACAAGCGAAAAACAAATCCAAAAGCTAAAAGTATCCCCGCCGACACACTCTCACAGTTCATGTCCTGTCCTTTAGGCATCGTGTCTCTTCTGGGCCATGGGCTTTTTGCAGTTGTTCCTCACACGTGTACTGAGAGTCCTTCACTCCACAGACTGTGTGTCCTTCCAGGCGAGGAGCCACACCTGTTCACTATCCCCTCTCTCCAGCTTCCTACAGAGCTGTGTCCCGTGGAGCTGTGTCTGGGACAGATGGCTGTCCTCCCAGCGTGACACCACCTGCTCACTTTCATGTGTCTGTCCTGGGCCCAGGCATCACACTGGATTCCTCTGTTTGACTCCTTAGTGGTCTTAGACTCATTCACCCGGGGTCTGAAAAGGAAGATTCTGCCCTGTGTTCTTGAAATCCTAAGTCTTTAACTTAAATGTTTTTTTTTTTTCTTTTTAATTGTGGTAAAATACACCTAACATAGATTTTACTATCCTAATCATTTTTTTAAAAGATTTTACTTATTTATTTGAGAGAGAGAGAGTGACGTGCACACAAGCAGGGGGAGTGGGAAAGGGAGAAGCAGGCTTCCCGCTGAGCAGGGAGCCAGAAGGGGGGCTCGATCCCAGGACCCCGGGGTCATGACCTGAGCCGAAGGCAGACGCCTAACTGACCGAGCCACCCAGGCGCCCCTATCCTAATCATTTTTAAGTGTATAGGTCAGTAAGGTTAGAGTCACATTATTGTTCAACCAATCTCCAGAACTCTTTGTTGTCTGACAAAACTAAAACTCTGCTGCCCTTGGAACAGCAGCTCTTTATCCCCCCACCCCGTCTCCAGTCCCTGGCAGCCACGGTTCTAGATTTTGTTTCTCTGAGGAGGACGACTGGAGGTCCCTCAGGAGTAGAATCACACGGTATTTGTCTCTTTGTGATAGTGGCCGATTTCACTTTGTGTCACGTCCTCAGGTTTCATCCTTGTGAAAGAGAATTTCCTGTATGAGAATTTCCTTTTCCTTTTTGAGGCCAAATCATATATATATATTTTTTAAAGATTTTATTTATTTATTTGACAGAGAGAGAGAGATAGCGACAGCAGGAACACAAGCAGGGGGAGTGGGAGAGGGAGAAGCAGGCTTCCTGCCGATCAGGGAGCCCGATGTGAGACTCGATCCCAGGACCCTGGGATCATGACCTGAGCCGAAGGCAGACGCTTAACGACTGAGCCACCCAGGCGCCCAAGGCCAAATCATATTTTATTGTGCATATATGCCACATTTTGTTTATCCGATCGTCTGTGAATGGATATTTGAGTTGCTTCTACCTTTTGGCTGTTGTGAATAATGCTGCCATCAGCCTGGATGTGTGAGATCTGCTCAGGACCTTGCTTTCACTTCTTTTGGGATATATACCCAGAAGTGGAATTGCCGGATATTATGGTAATTCGGTGTTTATCTAAAAAATTTGTTTTGGAAGGAGCCTGGGTGGCTCGGTCGGTTAAGCATCTGCCTTCAGCTCAGGTCGTGATCCTGGAGTCCCGGGATCGAGCCCCACATCTGGTTCCCCACTCAGCGGGGCGTCTGCCTCTCCCTCTGCCTGCCTCTCACCCTGATTGCATGCGCACGCTCTCTCTCCAACAAATAAATAAAATAAAAAATTAAAAAAAAATGTGTTTTGGTAATTCTACGTTTAATGTTTCAAGAAGCTGCCACACCATTTTCTATAGCGGCTGCACCGTTTTACGTTTTCTGTAGCAATGCACAAGGGTTCAAGTTTCTCCATCTCCTTGCCAACACTTGCTTCTGTTTTGTGTTGGTTTGGTTTTAGAGCAGCCATTCTAATGGGCGTGAGATATGGACTGTCACGAATGGTTGTGTAATTTTCAATCCACCAGACCGTGGGCAGTGCGGCTCTATGATTTTCCCTGGGATGTCTGAACCTGCCTCTTGTGGTTTTGTTTTATTTTATTTTTAAAGCTTTATTTATTTATTTGAGAGAGAGCGAGAGAGAGAGAGCATACAAAATACAAGTCAGATCAGAACAGAGTGAAATGAGTGAGGGTGAATCTTTCTGGAAGAGCCGAATCTTAGGCCAAGGCTTCAAGGAAATGCATACAGTTGTGGACGCTAGAGAGCATTTTGTCCCATGTACCCTTTGGGGTGCAGAGGGGGTAACAATACATTTACAATGATGTTAGATTTCCATGCGGATAAAGTGACTCTTTGGGAAGTGGGGAATTTTTGTTTTCTGACAAGTCTCTGTTGGTGACAAGGGGAGCTGAAGATATGGATGTGGGGCAGTGTGGGCAGGAACCAGCATGGGCAAAGGCGTAGACTGGAAATGGGCTTCCATGCAGGTCTGGCAGGACAGGAAAAGCAGGCCTTACTGGGGAAGGTCAGCAGTGAACTTGGTTGAATTGGTAAGAACCCCCATTCAACAGACCCTCAGACCTCCTCTCTGTCTTTGTAGAAAACTGCAACAAAGTTCACTTCCACCTCCCTTACCGGTGGCAGATGCGGCTTGCAAACACCTGGATGGACCTCCAGCCCATGGAGAATATTGAGAAGGCCTATTGTGACCCCCAAATCCGCACGTAAGTTGGTGACCAGACTCTGGCTTGTGAGGTCCACAGCATCATCAAAAGAAAGCATAGTGCTAGGCTTACGGCGAGAAGAAAAAACCATTTTCCTTCAGAATCCCATTCAAGTTTCAGGTACCTCTTGAGATAAAAAAATGGCAGATGCCTGCTGAGTTCATGAAGAAAAACATGAGCTAGATTTGAAGTCACGAAGAGCCTGGCTAATACTAGGGGTTCTGGGACTGTTTCCTAACTCATGTGATATAAACAGTGATCCAGCTATCATCACTGTGTTCTGCAGGCGTCAGTTTGTAGTACTGGGAACTCAGTAGCATTAACACAAGTATGATGAGTGTAGTGCAAAAGAGCCTGTGGCTTAATCTGATAGCTGTAGAACACGGCTTGACTAATTTCAAATAGTTCTAGTGCAGAATTCTGTTGTCTGCTTGAGCATTTTTATATCTTCCTTTATGTTTGCTAATTTCTCTCTCCTGGAGGTATCTAAGAGGACGCCTTACGTTCCTGTTTCTGCCAGGGGTGAACTGGGTGATACCACTCACGACCATATTCATATTTAGAAAGTGCATCCTAGGGGCGCCTGGGTGGCTCAGTCGTTAAGCGTCTGCCTTCGGCTCAGGTCCTGATCCCAGGGTCCTGGGATCGAGCCCCGCATCGGGCTCCCTGCTCCTTGGGAGGCCTGCTTCTCCCTCTCCCACTCCCCCTGCTTGTGCTCCCTCTCTCGCTGTGCATCTCTCTGTCAAATAAATAAATAAATCTTTAAAAAAAAAAAAGAAAGAAAGAAAGTGCATCCTAGTTTTATAAAGGAAATTCTTTTTTTTTTTATTTCCTATGCTGTACTTTTCATTCCTGTGACTGATTTTATAACTGGAAGTTTGTGCCTCTTACTCCCCTTCAAGTATTTTGCCCATCCCCCGACCCCCTCCCCTCTGGCAACACCAGTTTGCTTTCTGTATTTATGATTCTGTTTCTTCCTCCTCCTCCTCTTTCTGTTACAAGGAAATTCTTTGCGGGGGTGGGGTGGGGCGGGGCAATTGCTTACATTGCCATCCTTTTATAGTGAATTTTTGGTGGAGATTCTGTGTTACTGCGTTTTGCCACTAGAGGGTAGCATCAGCTACTTTCTTGTTTGGAGGTGTGGTTTTCCCCCCCACCCCCTCCGTATCTGAAGCTGGTTTCTCAACCTTAGCGCTCTTGACTTTTGGGGCTAGATAATTATTTGTCTTGGGGGGGCTGTTTAGGAGCATTCTTGGCCTTTATCCACTAGATTCCTGTTGTGATAACCAAAAATATCTTTCAACATTGCTAAACATTCCCTGGGGGACAAAACTATTCCTCATTGAGAACCACTGATTTAGGAGGTGTTTCTTAGAGCAATAATTTTCAAACTTGTTGGTCTCAGGAACCCTCTACAGCCTTCAAATATATTGAGGATCCCAAAAAACTTCTGTTTATGTGAATTATAGCTGTCAATATTTACCAGATTAAAAATCAAAACTGAGGGCCACCTGGGTGGCTCAGTTGGTTAAGTGACTGCCTTCGGCTCAGGTAATGATCCTGGAGTCCTGGGATCAAGTCCCACATCGGGCTCCCTGCTCAACAGGGAGTCTGCTTCTCCCTCTAACCCTACCCCCTCTTGGGCTGTCTCTCTCAAATAAAATCTCTAAAAAATAATAATAATAAATAAAAAATAAATATCAAAACTGAGAAGAATTCAATATTTATGGATTCATTGAAAAATAACGGTAATAAACTCATTTATGGTAACAAATACCATATTTTTATATAACTATGCTTATATAATTATAAATAGTTATATGTAATAACTATATATGTATGTATAAATAATACCTGTTTTCCAAAATGAGACAAAAAAAATTCATTCAGAAGAATGACATGGTTTTATATTTTGACAAATCTCTTTAATCTGTTGTAGAATCACACATCATGTAGCCTCTGGAAAACTCCACTGTGCACCTATGAGAGTATGAAAGTAAAAAAGGGCAAATAATGTCTTAATATTATTATGAAAATAACTTTGACCTTCCCGGCTTTCTGCAAAGATCTCAGACCACACTGTGTAGCTATTTAAATAATACTTGAAAAACCTGGCCTACCGTGAGTTTCTAACATTGAGCCAATCATTTGTTTTGTGGGCCCATTTTATTCTAGCATATTTGTTGAGGAGAGAATATATTTTGTGACATCATTAACTATATGCAGAAGGTAACTTACCTACCCTCTCTGCATTTCAGTTTTTTCTTCTTCTGTGTGTAAGACCGGGAGCTTTATAAAGAAAATTTGAAGATCCCCATCAGCTCTAAGATCTTAATTCTGTGTTTTTGTTAGGGAAGACCAGACTGTAGACGATCGAGGTCACTGAAGTATTCTGTTAACTTTAAACCTCTCCCTCTCAGCTTTTCTATTGGAAATAAAGACATCGATTTCCAGAAGATGACTTGTAATTTTAATCCTATCCGACGCATCTCCACGCCTTCATCTGTCACAGCGCTGACCAATTTTGTCTTTGCCACGAAATGGATTTGGTACTGGAAAAATGAATCTGACGAATGGGTTGAATACGGAGAGGAGGTGAGTACCTTCCCTCCTCGTGGAGGCTCTTGTTTAAACTTAACACCTTCAGAAAAAACTGCTAGTGAAACATTTGATGCCTACATCGTTACCCATGGAAAGCGGATGGGGTAGTGGGAATAGTGCTTTTTCACGCTCTACGCAACTGTATTTGCATTTTTCTTAGCAAGTGTATACTCTGCTGTCATAAGCAGCAGAATCTATGAATTATTTACAAGGAAACCCTTGAGACCCGAGTTAGCCACACACCCTTCTTTCCTCACGATCAGGGACGGGGGTGGAACCTTGAGCAAGCTTCCTATGTGTGAGTTTGTAGCTGCTTCCAGCCAGGGGACAAGGCGGGTGAGAAATCAGAAGACTGGTAGATGGTCACCAGGATTCAGGCAGGGTCTGGATTCAGATGGATTTGAAGGGCCGGAAGTGGAAGATGGCAGCTTACCCACACAGGCTCATGGAAACAGACAGAAGTTAAGATAAGCGGGGCTTCTTTTAGTGGCCCTTCCTGTGTTTGATTCACAGGATTAAATTGAGAGAGAGAGAAGGCAATGAAATCAGAGTGACAAGAAAGAAAAAAGGAAAGCGAGAGATTAAAATGAAGCCAAAGCCAGGTGGCGCCTGGGTGGCTCCGTTGGTGAAGCTTCCAGCTCTTGATCTCAGTTCAGGTCTTGATCTCAGGGTCATGAGTTCAAGCCTCGTGTTGGGCTCGATGGGTATGGTACTTCCTTAAAAATAAATAAATAGGGGCACTTGGGTGGCTCAATCGGTTAACCGTCTGCCTCTGGCTGAGGTCATGGTCTCAGGGTCCAGGGATCGAGCCCCGCATCGGGCTCCCTGCTCAGCGGGGAGTCTGCTTCTCCCTCTCCCACTCCCCCTGCTTGTGTTCCCTCTCTGTCTCTCTCTGTCAAATAAATAAATAAAATCTTAAAAAAAGAAAGAAAGAAACACAAATATGAAAAAATGAAGCCAGAACCAAAGTAAGGGACAACGAATTGCCGGCCAAAGGTTTTATTCCACGTAGAAGTCGATGGGCCATGAGTTTGGCTGTGAGCTGCCTCGCGTCCAAAGCACATGGAGAAACACCCTCATCACAGGACCACCTGTGCCTCTACGGGAAAACACACCAGTTCCTCAGGAGAAGCACTGCTTTTTTCTGTCACCGGAACCTGAGGAAAACCTCTCCTTTGGGGCCACAGAGAGGGGAGCATGTGTGCTGCTGCCAGCGAGGTCCTCCCCAGGAGCCCTGCCGACTCTGCCTAGTACGGTGGTTTCCTGCTGTCTTAGCAGCAGACCTGTGTCAGCAAACCGTCGCTCACAGAACCCAAATGAACAAGCAAGAGTAGAGCAGAGCTGCCCTGTGGAAACAGGAGAGGGGCTCAGAGCCCAGTGTCCTGGTCACCGTCCCCTTCGCTCTTCTTCTCTCTCCTCTGGTGGCTTGTGGAACAGTATGGCATGAAAACCCTCATGATGTCGAGATCTGTCCGGGTTCTCTCCACGGTCAAGTCAAAGATGATGTCAAAGTGCAGTTCTGTAAAGGTGATTCTGTGAGTTGACTGTGGAAATAGATATCACAAACTCAAATTAATTAGCCTTGGTTAAAATAAAAACAAACTATAGGCCTGTTTTTTTTTTAAAGTATTTTTGTTTATTTTTGCGAGACAGAGATAAGAGAGAGCAAACATGGGGGGGACGGGTGGAGGGGACAGAGAGAGAAGCAGGCTCCTCGCTGAGCAGGGAGCCTGATGCGGGACTTGATCCCAGGACCCTGGGATCATGACCTGAGCCAAAGGCAGTCGCTTAACTGACTGAGCCACCCTGGAGTCCCGTCTGATAGAACTTCTTGATATAAAGTTCTCCCTGGGACATTCAATCTGTGTTAAATGCAAAGTTCTAGAATGTAACCTGGAACTTAATGCAAACGTAGGATGTTGTCGGATTCCTTTAATCTTTTTTTTTTTAAAGACTTTATTTATTTATTTATTTGAGAGAACGAGAATGAGAGAGAGAGAGAGAGCGCCCATGAGAGGGGGAAGGGTCAGAGGGAGAAGCAGACTCCCTGCTGAGCAGGGAGCCCGATGCGGGACTCGATCCCGGGACTCCAGGATCATGACCTGAGCCGAAGGCAGTCGCTTAACCGACTGAGCCACCCAGGCACCCGGATTCCTTTAATCTGTGGCACATGTTCTTGGTGAGGTGAATAAATTATTACTCTCTCATATTAATTAGACCTATCGTTATATACATTGAATTGGCTCTTCTGTTACTAAAGAAAAAAAAAAAAAGAAGGCCCTAGATTTGCTGTTTTCCTTGCTGTCTGTCCAAGTGAAATAAAAATTGGTGTTCCCAGGAGATTTGAACCACAACATGATGAGCAGCCTGGTTTCTTTCAGAGTTCAGTGTGTATGGGTCAAGTCTGCAGCTCTTTGATGGCCTGGTTTGATTCAGCGTAGAGGTTAGAATATTTGGAGAAAAGAGTGGACTGCATAGCCTTCAGATAGGGAGAGTCCTGCAGGTTTTATTTCTTGCAATTGAATTTTTAATAAGAGTTGGGGCAACTGAGATTTCTGGGTTAGTAGCCTCCCTAGTAGAAACTGGGAGAAGAGCTTTTGCCAACCATGGGTAGGTGCATATGCTTTGACTGTGAACTCTTTGGAATTAAACTTGATATCCTTTTATGGAATTTCAGGTGCTGAGCCGGGACTTGTCCCGATAGAGATGGTAGACAGGGAGTGGATGTGGCACTGGGAGGAGTGATGGTTGAATAGCCAGGCAGGTGGGCAGCAATGGTGCAGGATGGAGGGACAGCAGGAGTGACTGGAGGGCAGGGCCTGGTCGCCATGGGGTTTGCATCCGGCAGTACTTGCAGATCCAGCCCCGCAGAGAGGTTGACTAGCTGGGAGCTGAGCTTAGTAGCTGTGGTGTCGAGGGGCAGGAGTCCCTGGCCTGAGAGAATCGCCCAAGGCAAAGGCCCGCCATTGCTCTAGAAACCAAGATCAAGGCGGCATGTGGGCACAGCACAAAAGCCAAGACCTGGTTACTGAAATGGAGATACACGTTCAAGTCTTTTGGGAGAATAAATCATCGAAGGCGCTATCACTCATTCACTCCTTCACTTATTCAGAACTGAAGTACAGTGTGAGGGAAGGGCCTGAGGAGGGACCAAGTGGGAGGCACGCTGGGCTGTCCAAATGCTCAGACACTGAAATTGCCTCGCTCTGTCCAGTATGACAACCACCAGCCACTTGTGGTGGCTATTTCATTTTAATTCATTACATTTGAATAAAATGAACACTTCAGTTCCACAGTCACACTAGTCACATTTAAGTGCTCGACAGCTACATGTAGGTAGTGGCTATCATACAGGAAAACAGAGAACATTTCCAGTGAAATGTTCCAGAAGGTTCCAGTGGACAACACTGATCTAGACCTGAAAGCCTTGCTAGTCAAATTCTGGTCTGCAGACCAGCAACACTGGCATCATGGGAGCTCTTTGACACGCAGAATTAAAAACCCTTTCCTGGAATCACAATCTACATTTTAACACACAAATTAAAGTGTGAAAGTCCCTGGCCTAGCACTTGGCAGATTGCTTCCAGCCGGGAACACGGTCCTGCCGAGCTGAGCTGGCAGTTGAAGGATGTGGGACTTGAGCTGTCAGAAGGGGAGGTTAGGACAGAGATTCAAGCTGGCAGGTGAGGGTCCCCAGAGGTGACAGATCTGCCTTGCCGCCCCCTGTGTTCTGTGTTCGTAGGCGTTTGCCTACGTCAGCTGCTCTTCCGGGTCCCAGGAAGGCATGTGACTCACCCCCATATCGTCTAATCATGGCAATCTCATTTACAATTATCCTGGTGGATAATGCCCCAGCAGCTGTTGCAACGAACCTCTTCGAGGTGTAACTTAATTGTTGGATGCTGTAGTTTCGGAAGTTCTGCTAAATGTAGCCTCCTTGTCACTTCCAACTGTTTGTCCTGGTTCTACCTTCTGAACCTCATTCTGGTTTATTCCCACCTTGCACTGTGTGCAGGTATCTGTCCTCACCATAGTCATCTCCAGGCTAAAGAGACCTAGTTCAGGCCCTTCTCCGTCCAGGACATTTTCCTTGGAGGCTTTCACTGTGGCGCCCTCCCCTTACATCCAGCAGGCATATTCACCGGGGGGGGGGGGGGGGGGGGGGGGGGCGTAGCTGAAAGCGGCAGAGCCTCCAGTGTCTTTAAAGGGACAGGGAGCCCCTCCCTGCCACCGGCTGGGAATTTGCTGTCATTAGCTCCTCCATTCTAGATCATGAGGAACAAGTGTCTCTTCACCATTAAATACTGGGAACCCCTGCTATTAGGGCTTACATCTGGTCCGCCCTGGTCTGCCCCCCCTGCATAAGGTATAGACAGCGGAATGGTGGCCTAGCTTGTCTCCTTGCTAGAATCAACACACTTCTCTTTACCCACCCGTTCTGAGGTTCAGACCCTTCATACAGGCCTTGAGACCAGAGATTCTATCTTTACATTTTTGGGGAGGTGTTCCTTGCCTCTTTCATTACAGCCCCAGTGAGTGGCAAATCCAAGCGCTTTTTCAGTGTTGTTGACTGACTTGGGGCAGGGTCGGTGGGGGGGGCGGCGTCCATTTTATTTGCTTACGTGGTTCAGGGCAGAGGAGAAGGGGGAGGTCATTTACATTTGGACCACAATACACCCATTGGAGCTTCCCTGCCTTTTAACAACAGCTCGAAACTGCTTTCTCACACGTGATGGGCTAAAAACAGCTACGCTGTTCTACTTCATGCCCGAGTGTTGGATTCTGTTAGGGAGGGCAGACATGATTTCTGTACCGTGGGTATAAGTGGTTCTGTACGCTTGAGACTTATTTGACAGAAGATGTAAAAAGGACATCGCAAAGAGCTCCATTTTTCGGGCATCCACCAAGCGTATGGTCCGTTTCTGCAAGGTAGACTGTTTTCCTCTAGCCCCGTGATGGGGACGCCACATTGTGTGACACGGCCCCAACCCGGCAGCCTTTACAGTCTGGTTTGGGAGGCAAGATGCGTTCCTGTTGAAATCCCATGGCTAAAATACAGTTGTATAAGATACAATGGTAGAGGTTTCTTAAAAGCCTACCCTGAAGTGTCTTTACCTTTTGTTTTTGTTTTTTTTTAATCAGACGGGCCATCAGCAAGCTTCAACCATCGACTCTTCCTATCTGGAGTCCTTCTTTCTATGCCACCCAGCGGGCGTTGTGCCATTCCAGGCGGGTTCACAGAGCTACGAGCTGAGTTTTGCGGGTAAGACTTTGCGTTTGGCAGTGGTGCCCGTTGTTTGGATCTGGCATGCAGTGTCTCCCTGGGGGTGGGAGCAGAACGGAGGTGCGTGTGCATGCCGTACCGAGCACCGGGGTGCTTTTCAGCAAGGCCCATGGTACACTGGGGTGGGAGCCTGCGGCTGTCAGGAGGCCTGTGCCCCAGAGCCTTGGCTCTGACAACAGTAGAGACTTTGGGCCCACTGGTGCCTTCAGACTTGTGGAACCTTGCTGTTCCTTTTGGGCTTCATCATCTAGGTGGTTGGTTTTATCCATCACCTTTTCTAAAGACTTTGCCTTCCACCATGTTTATTTGAGTCACCGTGGAAAGGCCTTCAGCTTAGCTTCTAGCAATCTGTTGTGCTTAGTAAGAAATCAGGGCAGAAACTGCCCTCCCTTTGAATGTACTGTCACATCAGTTGCACCCCTGGGACACTTCCTTGCATATGGTCAGATGGTTGCCCTTTTGGGACCAGCCCTGTGGGTGCTTTGAAAGAGATAAAGACTTTCTCAAGTCCTTGACCTTCCAGGTGGTACCTGAGATTTGGGCCCTGTACCAATTACTGTGTATTAAATAATATAGCTTTGGGGCGCCTGGGTGGCTCAGTCGTTAAGCGTCTGCCTTCAGCTCAGGTCAGGATCCCAGGGTCCTGGGATCGAGCCCCGCATCGGGCTCCCTGCTCGGCGGGAAGCCTGCTTCTCCCTCTCCCACTCCCCCTGCTTGTGTTCCTGCTTTTGTTATCTCTCTTTATTTATTTATAAATAAATAAAATCTTTAAAAAATTATTATGAAAACTGCACAGTAAAAGCAAAATTTAATATTGTTAAATGAAAAAGACAAACCCTCAAATAGATGCTTTTGTGCCTTTCTCTTTAGGTGTTGTATTTCAAATTAAAAGTTTCTTTTCCCCCAAATGAAAAGTTTTTAAAAAAAATTTAATATGCTTGGTAAATACAATGATGTATGGATGTGGACCAAGACCAGAAGAGAATAGGTAGAAACAGAAATCTCTTCTGTTGGATGGTGAAATGAAGAATGTCTTAAATCAAAGATTTTTTTCCTTTGGGTATTATTCTCTTGTTTCGGCAATTTAAAAAGGTGGTGGAGAGAGGAGAACTGATAAGGTAACTTGTTCCTGAATCTGGAGAAATTTGACCAGCAATTTTGTTCACTTGGTTCATAGAAACTAGTCCAGAGCAGTCTGTGGTATTCTAGGTGATTTTTTCCTATTTCTTATATTCTGACACTCGTTAAACTGGCGCTGGAGTGCAGGCTGTGTTGCTAGGCACTGTTCTAGGTGCGGGCATCAGGCAGAAGTGAGAACAGCTCTGGGGAAAATGAAGCAGTGTGATGAAGAAGCCAGAGAGTTGGAGGAGTCCCTAGGGGAGCATCTAGTTTTGTCCTGGAAGGAACCTTTGGAAGGAAGGGAGCAGCCCATGCACATGGGAAAGAGGGCCCCCAAGAGATGGGGGGGCTGGTGACAAGAGTGTGAACTGCAGACAAGCTGGAGGTTTCAGAGAACAGTGAGAAGGTCTGTAAGAGATGAGAGCTGCAAGAAGGTTTGGAGCAGAGTTGCGGCACCATCTCATTTTTTTTTAAGATATATTTATTTATTTTGGGGGGTGTGCACACGCATGAGTGGGGGAAGGGCAGAGAGGGTCTCAAGCAGAGGGAGAGGGAGTAGAGCAGACTGCTGAGCCTGGAGCCAGACTGGGGCTTGATCTCATGACCCTGAGATCATGACCTGAGCCGAAATGAAGAGTCCTACACTTAACCGACTGAGCCACCCGGGAGCCCCACACCATCTCATGTTATCTTTTTATTGTTTATGTTTGTTTCACTTTGCAACAACTATACTGAAGCATAATGGCTTCAATAAAATGCATCCTTTTTTCTTTTTAAGATTTTATTTATTTGAGAGAGAGAGAGCACAGCCAGGGGGAGGGGCAGAGGGAGCAGACTGATGAAGCGGACTCCGCTGAGCAGAAGCCCAACATGGGGCTCATCCCAGGACCCTGGGATCATGACCTGAGCCGAAGGCAGATGCTTAACCAACTGAGCCACCCAGGTGCCCCAAAATGCATCCATTTTAAGTGTGCAGTTGGATGAGCGCTGACATATGCATGCAACTGCTATCCTGATCAAGATCTAGAACATTCCCATCAGTCCAAAAAGTTTCCTCATGCCCCTTTGCAATTGGTCTCTTCCCACCCCCATTTGCTCTGTCACTATAGATTAGTTGTATCTGTTCTAGAACATCATATAAAGAGCATCTTGTGGTATATACTCTGCATGTGGCTGACTTCTTTCACTCAGAGTGTTTTTTAGACCCATCTATGTTGTTACATGTACAGGAGTTCTTCCCTTTTCAATGCTGAGGAATACTTCATTGTAAGGCTATACCATGGTTTGTTTTTATCCATTCACACTTAGAATTTTGGTTGTTTTCACTTTCGGTTATTAGAATAATGCTACTAGGATCATGTAAGTGAAAGTCTTTGTTTGGATGTAAGTTTTCTTTTCTCTTGGGTAAATATAAGGGAGTGGGATTGCTGGATCATGTAGGTACTATATGTTATATGTTTAACTTTATAAGAAACTGCCAAAGTGGCTGTGCTATTTGATACTTTCATTAGCAAGGTAAGATGATTTACTTTTTTTTTTTTAAGATTTTATTTATTTATTTGAGAGACTGAGAGAGAGCACCAGTGCAGAGGGAGAGAGAATCCCAAGCAGACTCCCTGCTGAGTGTAGAGCCTGATGCAGAGCCTGATACCACCACCCTGGGATCACAATCTGAGCCAAAACCAAGAGTCGGACGCTCAACTGCCTGAGCTACCCAGACGCCCCAGATGATTTACTTTTTAATAAAGAGCTCCCTCTGGCTGCAACTTGGACCTGACTCTACAAGATGCATGAATTGAAAATGACATTTCACACTTGATACAGAAAAATCCTTCAAGATATAGCTACCACATTCCAACCCATAGTCATCGTTGCCTGGTTTAGGGCAGCTTACCTGGATGATGTCTTGTTATCTGGCTGCCCTAGTCCTTCCCTTTACTATCTGACTTTGATTTACAGGTTCAGTTAATCACTGACTGCTCATCTCGTTGCCTCTTTGTTTTCTGGGTCTTATAAGGGCAGTGAAGGATACAGGTTTTTAATCATGAGCAATTCCCATCCGAAAGGATTTTCTGTATTCATACAGAATACAGAATACGTGAATATTTGCTGTATGACTAGCCTACAAAAAATAACAGGACATCATTTTCTAGGACTAATTCTTGGTTCTTGTTTGTTTTCCTTTTTCTCTCTAAAGGCATGATTCAAACAAATGTAGTTTCCAAGACCCAAAAGGATGTTGTCAGAAGGCCAACATTTATGTCTTACAAGGCTGTGCAGCAGATTAAAAATGGGCTCAAGTAAGTGTTTGGAAACACTGCCTATCGGCAGTTGTTTAAGATGGTCACCCATTGATCTCACCAATTTACTCATGAATCTGTGTTCTTAAAATCTTCCTGCTTTCATTACACGGTGGTTTCCTTTCGCATCATCTGTGCTCATGAAGCAGTACAGTGTGCCCAAAGGGGTAGAGGAGCAGAAATCCATCTCCCTCTGACTCCCAGGAGACTTCAGGCAGGCCTCCCATACCTGGGCCTCAGCGGCTTCACTGTGAATGGCTGGACTGATGGGCTGAGCCTCGGAAATAATCAAGTGCATGATTAAAGGGGTTTTGTTTTGCTGTGGGTTCTTCTGTGTGTCTTTAGTTTTGCTGAGTGGATTTACAGAAGGGAGGCTGCTGAGAAAGAAATGGAAGAAGGGAGGGATGTGTTAACTGCCTGAGGGAGGAGATTTGGACAATGATACAGTTGATAAAAGGGGATTGTTTAAAGGAAATTTTCCTGTGGGGGATTCAGTGTCACTGTCTTCTGTCTGCTCATGAAAACTCAGTAAAATCTACATTGTTCATCAACGGTTGTGGAGATGGGTTTTCCCCCCCTCCAGATGATAATGAGGTTACATAAAACAGATTTCAAGGTGGGTGTAAAACCAAGCATGGCATTTTTCTAGTTGATTTATATAAATTTTTATCCAAACAAGGTATATACATTGTATTTGGTAGATTTGTCTCTTAAGCCTCTTAATCTATTACATTTCCCCTCCTCTACTTTTTTTTTTTTTTAAGAAATTAGGTGATTCCTCCTTATAGAATTTCCCAAATTCAAAATGTATCAAATTGTATGCCCATGGGGGCATCTGATAAGTAATTTCTGCGAGTTGATGGTTCGATTTAGAGGCTTGATTAGATTCGGGTTCGATTTTTGGTCAAGAAAACTATAGAAGTGGTACTTTGTGCTTCCTGCCACATCATAGTAAGAGGTACATAACATCTAGTTGTCCTATTCTTAGTGATGAAGATGAGCCAGGGGGTGCTGTTCGGTCCAGTCTGACCCCTCTGTTCCAACATCTGATCTTTCACTGGATAGTTATTGTAGCTATTGGGGGTCATTGTTTCAATCCTTTATTTCATTAGGGGTTAGGAAATGGTGGTTTTCTAATTCTGTCAATTCTGCAATTAATAGCTGTGAATTGTCTATAAAGAAGACTTTTTCTTCCTGGGGGAACAATACCCTGAAATACAGTTCCTACAGGAAAGACAGCAGAATTCTTCCCCCGTGCCTCAGTGTTCATTGTTTCACAAAGATGCTGTAAGATATCTTAATGCTCACGTATTAGGTCCTCTGAAGGTTGGGCAGGAATCCAAAAAAGAATGAATGCTTTTGCATTTTATTTATTTATTTTTAAAGATTTTATTTATTTATTTGACAGAGAGACAGTGAGAGAGAGAACACAAGCAGGGGGGTAGTGGGAGAGGGAGAAGCAGGCTTCCCGCTGAGCCGGGAGCCCGATGCGGGGCTCGATCCCAAGACCCTGGGATCATGACCTGAGCCGAAGGCAAATGCTTAACAACTGAGCCACCCAGGTGCCCCTGCTTTTGCATTTTAAATCAATGGGAAAATCATGTTAATTTACCAAATTATGAATAATGACTGCATTTTTTTTAAAGCATGATTCCTTGTACATCTATACCAGGACTATGCAGGAATATAGTCCAAAATAAAATACAAAGAAAAAATTCTCTGGGAAACCTTGGCTTAGTGGCTGGAATTTCAGGACAGAACTCGGGCATATGGAACAGGGAACGAAGTGAAGTCTTTCTCTTCTCTGTAGTTATCAGCCGGTGCAGACCCCGTCAGACCCTCTGTCCTCGACATTGCTTCCTCAGTGGGACTTTGGCTCGAGTGAATATGAGGTACTTGGTTTTTACTTTTTGGTGTGTAAATTGTTTAAAGGGGGGGGAAGTACTTAGCTGTAAATGTGTGTGTTTGGATGAAAGGATGAATGGTTTCCGTAAAACTCTTGGGTCAAGATTCAGTGGCATCCAGATGGTAACTGTGTTAGCTTCCCAGAGAGCAGTTGCTCTCCACAGGGCACCTCATCATCCAGCCACGTACACGCACACTGCCTCACCTCCTCACTTAACTTAGATGGGGCAAGACTCTTTCTAGATCACTTAGCTTCCACATCATGCTCCAGCTTTGGGGGCAGCCCTCTCTGCTTGGGTGCCTTGCTCTAGCTTTAGGCAAAGGAACTCACCAGGTCATTAGAGTAAATCCGACACCTCCGGGGGCATCCCTTTGCCTTTAAGCATAATGTTAGCCCTAAGTCAGCCTGCACAGATGGACCCAGTGCCAACTAGTTTTTTACTAAAATGAACCTCCAGATGTGGAAACCCTAAGCCAGCTTATGCAACCTGCTACCAGAGGCCTGTCAAAGATACTCCGTGGCATAGGGGGCCGTGCGTGTGGACATACCATGCTTTAAATGTCTCCTGCTTCACATTATACGTATTTTTCAAATTTTTTAGTTGTTAGAGATCGATAATCGGTGTCCGGAATATGCCATGATAAGTGAATATTTTAAAACTTCCATGAAAAATTTCAAGATTGAAAAGATAAAGAAGATCAAGAACACAAAGCTTTTGAATACTTTTGAAAGGTTGGTGGCCATGTTCTCAGGTTTTTTGTTTTGTTTTGTTTTTTAATGTAAAGTTTGAAAGGATTAGTTAAGGGCTATACTTTACAGCCTATTCACTGGTTTATTTTATAGTCAAGAGTTTCTTCAGTGTCTGGTTGTTTTTTTCATTTTGTAAACTGGAACTTCTTTCAGCTTCAGTTTTACGACTCTGATTTAATGTGTCTATTATTTAAAAGTTCTCACAGATTCACTTTTCTGTGTCTGGTGCATTCATGTTAGAAGCTCCATTCTGAAAATGGGTGGAATCCAATTTTAAGATGATTAGACTTTATTGGGATTAATGTCATTAACCATAGTGGGAGAGGAATGCTTTGGGTGTTAAGTCTCACATTTTCTCTATTAGGAAAAAAATGAAGATGAACAACAGAGTGGAAAAAATTCTGTTTTATGCAACAAGCCGCATCCATGTGGAGTCTATCTGTAAGAATAATTTTGACTGGATCTTACATGGAACTGGTGAAACCAAATATGGAAAAGGTTTGTGCTGGAATAGAGAAGCCTGAATAGTAGAGTCATAACTCAGGCTCTGTTACGAGGTAGAAGCCATGATTTGGTACTAACCAGCATGTGCGGGCTTTTGCATGCATGGAGAATTAAGCTCATGTTAACCTTAACTGCCCAAATTAGAGTGGTACATTGATTTGGGACTTGATTGCTGTATCATAGCCCTGCTCCCATCTTGGGTTTTTTGGGAGGTGGAAGGATGGAAGGGCCTCATACATGTTTGCAACCTCTTTTACCTGTTGGTTACATTGTCTAGCATTACTATTCACTTCTACCTATGGCTCTTCCCGACTTAAGTCCAGCCCTGCAAAGCTACTGCAAGTGGCCTGCCATTGCCACTGATGGGTTCTTTTTTCTCTTTTTTTTAAAGATTTTATTTATTTGAGAGAGAGAGAGCAAGGCAGAGAGCAGGAGCGGGCGGAGGGGGGAAGGCAGAGGGAGAAGCAGGCTCCCCGCTGAGCAAGGAGCCCAACGCGGGGCTCGATCCCAGGACCCTGGGATCATGGCCTGAGCCGAAGGCAGACGCTTAATGACTGAGCCACCCAGGCGCCTTCCTCTGCTCATTTTTTAATAAGATTATTTTTTGGTGTTGGGTTGTACCTTCCATGTAATTCTTAAAACAAGCAAACACAACAAATCACTCATCTTAAGAGAACAACTAATAGTATATCAAGTTTCAAAGTGGGCTCAACTCCTACAACAAAGATTAAATTCACACACGCTGCAGAAAGCAAGAAACCCATCAGTCAGCCAAAAAATATTTTTGAGTGCCTTCTACACACACTCCCATACTGGGAGACATAGCTGTGAACAGAGTAGACATGGCCCCCACCAAAATTACTTCACGTAATTAATGAAATGATTGCAACTGTGTAACTACTGTGGAGGGAGTGAACAGGTCCTATGGACACCTAACCTGGCCGGAGAGTTGTTCCCAGGGGAAGGCACAGGAGGGACCATCTACATCACAGAGTCCCTGTGGAGAGTGAGTGACAAGTGGAGTAAGGTACAGCGCCACAGGAAGGAGTTGAGACTTGACCCTGGGGGTATGGGAAGCTAATGAAGGAGTTTAAGCTGGGGAATGACTTGATGAGAATTTCATGTGTATTAAGTTTAAATGCATCAGTAAAGGGGCGCCCGGCTGGCTCAGTTGGAAGAGCATGCGACTCTTGATCTCAGGGTCGTGAGTTCAAGTCCCATGTTGGTGTAGAGATTACTTAAGTAAATAAATAATGTAAAAAAAAAAAAAAAGCCTCACTAAAACTTACCTAGAAATGTTTGGAGAAAGCCGGATGACCACCTTGTCTCTCTTATGTTAGAACTCAAAGGAATATTTATTGTAGAAAATGGAAATATGTTACATACGTGTTCTTAGGTTTTGGCCCTAATTGGCTCTGATAGTGACATGCATGGGCATGTAGTCTGTTTTTCCTATACATGAAAGGGCTCTGAAACCCTCTGAAATATATCCCGATAGTTTGATAGTGTTACTCACTTACTATCACTTTTCCTTTAACTTGATAAAAGAAGAGAGTTCCTAATAGCCAAGAAAACCCCCTGTGAGTGGTGTGGAACAAAGAGACAAAGATGGAGTCTGCAGTTCTCACAGATGGGCAAGGTGTCTGTTCAGGATCTGTGCCCGTTTTTCCCATGCCACCCTCCCTTGAGAAGGTGGTGATCCTTTTACCCAGCCTGCCTCCTATTACTGGGAGTTAGGAGGTATTTTTGTGTTGTTTGTATTTATTTTTCATCCCAACTTTCCCCTTGCATCACCTGTGATGGTATCAGTCCTGGCTAGATAGACCAGGGTATGAACCGTTGCGCCCATAATCTTAAAAAGTTCAGGCAGTTCTCCTAAAAGAGGCCAAGTGGTAGACCTCAGAGATACTGCTCCTCTCTGAGGGAAAACAAAGCGCCCCCTTTCACACACGTGAAACCTCTCCCGTTAGGCTGTTATCTGCATGCTTTTGCATGTGACTGTGTTAAGGAGACTATCAGGGGAATAAGATGTGCCTGGAAAGGTAGGAGGGCTCTGGGCTACCTTTTGATAAATTGGAAGTGGGAAGAGAGCATCTGATGGGAGATTGAAGATCAGAGGGGAAGACAGGGTAGTTGGAGAGTTGATAAGGGCCTGGAAGCAGGAGCCAAAGGCAGCCGCTTAACCGATTGAGCCCCCAGGCGCCCTCCTCTGCCACTGAGCAGTCTGCACTAAGGATAAGAACAACAGTTAGGTAAAAGCCACTCAACTTCACAGTCAGAGGAGATGATGAAAACTCCGATTTGGATAAAAAGTGGAAGCAAGGTGAAATTAGAAAAAGAAGCACATGTTTGAGGGCGGAGCTTCGCAAAGAAGGACCGGTCCTGGTTACCAATTGGATTCAAGAGGCCTGATGGGAGGCATAGAAGGCCAGGGAACATATTTGGGATCCAGGGTGCTGCAGGCATCGACATCTATAAAATCTCCCAAGATTCTGCAACCCAGGGACCGCCCAGTGGTTGGAAAGAAAGAAACAAAAGTGTTATTTTTGATTATATGAGTGTCTATGTAGAAAACCCAAAAGAATCTATGGAGAATGGGAATGGTGGTATTCTGCCCAGGAAGTGGGAAATGTGTTCCTGTGCCACAGACTCCCGTCCGTCATCCCTGACGGCCCAGCATGGTGGGGCCCAGGATGCCTGAAGAACCCAGTCAGAGCCAGCTTGACCCTTGTGGACTCCCAACCTAGAAGAAGGTCCCTTTCCCTGGTCTTATTCAGAGTTCTTTCTAGTTAACAAAGCCTATTTTTTGCAATGCATATCTAGATCCTATTTTGGTAACAAAAGCTGACCATGATTCTTTCTCCTTAAAGATTCCTTCCAGTGATTCTTACTCTCTCTGAGGCAAAGAATATGTCTGGCTAAAATAAAAGATGGTTACATTTCAAGAATTACAAAAAGAAAAGAAAAGCACAATATTATCCCATTATGTCAATTATACTAGGTAAATGAAAAAAATGAATAAAGTAGATTACAAGACGGCATATTGTGAAGTCTAACTATGACCTCTAGGGCAAACAAACCTAGCTAGGCAAAAAAACAAGACCAAACAAAACAGTTGGGAGAAGAGTGTTTATGAAGACCGGAGACTGACAAAGGCCAGGGAGGCTGTAGACAGCACAGGACATTTAAGGTCTGGTGGGAATGACAAAGGATAAAGCTGGAGCTGGAGGTCGGTGTCCGATCCTGAAACATCTGCAAGCCTCTCTCTCTCCCTCTCTCCCTCCCCCCCCACCCCCCGCTTGTGCTCACTCTCTTTCCTCTCTCTCTAATAAATAAATAAATTTTTATTTATTTATTAGAGAGAGAGAACACAAGCAGGGGGAGTGGCAGGCAGAGGGAGAAGCAGGCTCCCCACTGAGCAGGAGCCCGATGTGGGGCTCAATCCCAGGACCCTGAGATCATGACCTGAGTCAAAGGCAAGACGCTTAACCGACTGAGCAACCCAGGCGCCCCATAAATAAATCTTTTTTTTTTTTAAAGATTTTATTTATTTATTTGACAGAGAGAGAGACAGCAAGAGAGAGTGAGTAGGGGGAATGGGAGAGGGAGAAGCAGGCTTTCTGCCGAGCAGGGAGCCCGATACGGGGCTCGATCCCAGGACCCTGGGATCATGACCTGAGCCAAAGGCAGCCGCTTAACCGACTGAGCCACCCAGGCGCCCCCATAAATAAATCTTTTAAAAAATAGCTGAATAATCAAATCAGTACTGAGACTTTATTAGAAAATAGAAAAAAAATAACAAATATAAAAGTAACTCAGTGCCATTAAAATATGCACAACTATCCATGAATGTTGCAAATAGGTTTTATGGCTTTATCAAGCAATAAAAATGCACACTCAAGAAAAATACAGATGAAATTTTTGTCTATTGATTTTATTCCATTTGCTTTAAGTCAAATATATTTTTACCAGTAACTCCATACTATTTATTTGACACCTTTTACATGCATAACTGCAGTTCACTTATCTGGAAAGATTCGCTTTCGGAAAGATTCGCTTTCTGAAAGATAACTTGGAATTGGAAAGAGTGAACAACTGTGTTATGAGTAGCCTAAGTTGTTGTCATAAAATTCTGGTACTGAAGATTGTGTATGTTTTTTCTTGGGAGCTTCTCAGAATCATTTAGTCTTATTTCAAAACAGTGGTTGTTTTTTTTTTCCTCAGCCCAGCAAGTGTGGAGTGGGAGTAAAGAGACGCTAGAGGTGGGCAGCAAGAAGAAAATTAGCAGTTTTAGGTGGAGAATGAGAGAGGAAATGATCTGTAAGACACAAACACAACTTAACATTTTTCTTTCATGCTGTGTATAGACCATTAGTATAGGAATAAATGGCTCTGTCCCCCTTAGTAACTCAAGAGGGCGTCCCTATGTTGTAACACCATATACCAGAATTAATATCTACATCTGACGCATCAGGAAAAGAAAGGGCAGAATGACTTATTCTAGTTTTTAAATCAGAGAAATGTCTATGTCTTAGAAAGATTTCCTTACAAAATAGCTTAAGTTGTTTAGAAGTTCCAGAAATCGACGTATGAGAAATGGCTCTTTGCAGACACTTAAAAATGACTTATGACTGTTCTAGGATGCGCAGAGATGGGTAGTGTGATACAGAGTTTGTGTGATAGTTTGTAGAGGGTGACCATCAAAAGAGAGATAATAAAAATAAAGAGGGCACAGAGGTGCCTGGGCGGTTCCATCGGTGAAGCGTCTGACTTCAGCTCGGGTCATGATCTCGAGGTTCTGGGATCGAGCCCCGAGTCAGGCTCCCTGCACGGTGGGAAGTCGGCTTCTCCCTCTCCCTCTCTGTCTCCATCTGCCCCTCCCAACTTGTGCATGCTCTCGCTCTTTAATAAATAAATAAATAAAATCTTTAAATAAAAGTAAAATAAAGAAGGCACAGCCTCTATACTCGGGATAGCAGAGTAGTATAGAATGCATCTGTAGTTGGTCATCTGGTAAAACTGAGGAGCTGGAACAGGCTAGGGAGGAGGGTCGTTGGCAGAGATGGAGGTGGAGTGGGTGGCCCAATAGGATTGTTGTGGGATGATGATTGTCATTTGTGTCCTTGGCCATTTTCCAATTATCTACTGGCCTACTTTATCAGATTATAAAAAGATCCGTATGGACACTGAAAAAAATTTTTTTTATGTTGGCAAAGTTTGGAGAAATGGGACTTTCTCCATTGCTGGTAAAATCTTTAGACTGCTTCTGGAGGGCAGTTTGTATTATCTGTCAAAATGTAATAAGCTCATGTCCTTTGACTCAGCCATTACAGTTTTGCAATCTGTTCTATAGAAATACTTACACAGGCTCTCAAAGGTATATTTACTAGGATGTTTTAAAAGTATTTATCTAGACGTGTTCTTGGTAATAGAAAAAAATAAAAGCCACCTACATCTTAATCAATACGAGAGTAGTTAAATTATGATACATCCATACAATGGAATCCTGTGCAGCCACTAAAAAGAATGAGGTGGGGTTAAATGGGGTGACAGCAAAATTCCTAGGACTAGAGTGTAAAAAAATGCAGGACAGTTCATTCAGTGTAATCTTCTTAATGAACAAATAAAAGAACATCAAACTGTACCAGAGTAAATGTGTTATATATGTATGTCAATGCCTAGAAATAGGTGAGAGAGTCCCCATCAAGTCAGTGACTGTGTTTGGGAGGGACAGTGGGTCGAGAAATGGTAGGTCAGTATAGGTGGACTTTCATTTCTTATTCTAAATATAGTTGAACATCATTTACTCAGAATATCCATTATCTGACCTATTCAGGATGAGTAGTATTTCTGGAATTCAAACACCTAAATTATAAAAAAAATAAGTAATAAAAAATAAATATGATAAATGAAAAAATATCAAGCACTTGTTACCATAAGTAAAATGAATTCATTTTACTAATTAACTTTTGCATACAAAATCAGAATTTTCAAATATATATACGCATTTCTTTTATTTTTTAATTTTTAAAAAAATTTTATTTAGTGTGAGCAGTGAGGGAGGGGCAAAGGGAGAGGGAGAAAGAATCTCAACCGGACTCCCCACTGAGCACCAAGCCCGACATGGGGCTCGGTCCCATGATCTTGAGATCATGAGCCTGATCAAGAGTCAGATGCTTAACTGACTGAGCCACCCAGGCACCGCCACATTTCTTTTAAAAAGACAGCGAAAACTGGGGCACTGGGCTGCTCAGTCAGTTAAGCAGCTAACTTCCACTCAGGTCATGATCTCAGGGTCTGGGGATAGAGCCTCATGTCAGGCTCCCCATTCAGCGGGAGTCTGCTTCTCCCTTTCCCTCTGCATACACCCCCCGACCCCATGCTGTCTCTCTCAAATAAATAAATAAAATCTTAAAAAAAAAAGAGAAAAGAGAAAAGTATCTGGCAATGACAAAAATTAAAATAGGAAATTTTAATTTGTCAGGAGATCACTGTTGATCTGCTGTGTATAGAAACCTCAGTGATGCAGGGGCGCCTGGATGGCTCAGTTGGTGAAGCCTCGGTCTCTTGATTTAAGCTCAAGTCATGATCTCGGGGTTGTGAGATGAAGCCCTGCCTCAGGCTCCGCACTGAGAGTGGAGTCCTGCTTGGGATTCTCTCCCTCCCTCTGCCCCTCCCCTGCCGCACACACACATGGGCGCTCTCTCTCTCTGTCTCTCAAAGTATAAAAAAAAAAAGAGACCTCAGTGATGCAGAAGTTGCTTTACGGTTGAGGAGGACGATAGATGAACTGTTTTGGAAAGGTCTACCAGGGTCAGTTGCTTGCCTGTGCTATGCCCCTCTCTTTCACATTTTCTAGCACCTTCCCATCTGTAGTAAATGACCTTTGTTCCTTAAAATGTACACATTAGAAAAAGGCCTCTGCTGGAGTATCGTTGGTTCATCAAGTTACAATTCAGCTCACCCTGCAGGATTTGCATGAGTTGGGCTGCTGTGATATCACCACTTGGTTACTGTCCTGGGTGGCTCACACCATCCCTGGGGGCCCCTGCACACTAGCAAGTGTTTCTGTTAGTTCAGTAGGGTTATATACTGGATTCAAAGAAACATTTTTTTCAGTACAAAGGAAAGTTTATCAGTATCAGTAAGGTGTTGCTGACACATGCTTAGGGGACGCTTATCATCTGATGGTATGTAAATAATCTTACAAACTACGTGCCTTCTTTCATAATAATTCTTTACCCTTTCTCTTTTTCTGATGATTTCTAGGAATTTACTTCACAAAAGATGCCATCCATTCCCATAAAAATTGCCAGGGTGATACCAAAAACATCGTTATGTTTGTAGCTCGAGTCCTGGTTGGAAATTTTACTCAAGCAGAAATGGCAAGCACCAGCCCTCCCCCACCACCATATGACAGCTATGTGGATATAAGGTTGAATCCCTCCGTTTTTGTCATCTTCGAGAAAAATCAGATTTACCCAGAATATGTGATTGAATATACTGAACTAGACAAACCCTGCGTGATTAGTTAGGAGTGATGAATATAGAGTCATAAAGGAGGCCATCACCCTTCTCTTCACTTACTGAGCCAGATTGCCCCAGATAATACATTTTTACATTTCTCATCTAGTTATCAAATGCCTTAGATCAGTGGTTCCCAAACTTTGTTACACATCTGAATCGTCTGGGAAGCTTTTTAACAAGTCCAATGTTCAGATCGCACCCCGTGCCAACTAAATCACTGTTTCTGGTGTGAGAGCTGGGCAGTGGTACTTTTTTTAAATCCCAAGGATTCAAATGTGTCATAGAGTTTGGGAACCACTGTCTTAGATATAACTGAGAAAGACGGATTTCTAAAACATCTGTAACTGCCAACAAGTTTCTCTCCCAGCTACTCTTCGTTTACTGTATGACATGGTTAAATCTTGGTTAAATTGAAAGAAAATTAATTTGGGCAATTTGAGAGAAATCTAAAAATGCCTATGGAAGTAAGGACATAAGACCGTACCGCCTTGGATAGAAGATTATGGAAAGTTGGGGGGGTGGTTAGGAAAATGCGGTGGCGGTGGGGAGGAGAGAAAAGGTAATTTAAATGCCATTACAGATGTAACTGTACCGTACCTTCGTGGTAAAACTGAGTTGGGGCACACATTTCTTTATATCTAACGTTTATTTAGGGGACCCCATCCAGGCTCGTTCTCTGGAATGCAATGAAAAGAGCCACAAACTGGGGCTCAGAGAGAAGCAGCCAACTGGAGTTAATTGCCCATTTGGGTTCTTTATATAATTATGGCAGAGTAGACATTTATATTCTAATATATGATTATAGAGAAGGTTTTCAGGTTGGACTTTCAGGAAGTGTCTGTATTGTGGGGGGTCTGAGTTGTAGTAACCAGACTCACAGAAGCATGACTGATAAACCTGAGTGCTAGTGTAGTTGTTCGCTGTAACAGATGAGGATCACCGAGGAATTAGGAGCAAGGCCATCCCTACTGAAGGATAGGCCCCTTAAGGAGGCGAGATTTGTTTCTTGGTGAACACGGAACCAGAACAAAGAGAACAATGCCTCAAACAGGTCTTACACCTGCAAGGGGCTTCTTTTTTTTTTTTTTTTCTTTCTAAATATAACGGATTGTATGGAATTGAAGTACAATCAGTTTTTAAAGCAGATGAGGTTCCTGGACCAAGATTTCTTTCCTTATCACGAATCAGATTTTTCCTTCCAGTTTTAATTTTCAGCATTCTGTACCATTCACCAGTTTCCTGTTATAACTCCTGCCAGCAGACATATTATAAAAGTTAATTAGCACTAGAGTTGATTTTATATTAGTCAGATTGTAGATCAGTACAAACATCTCCACAACCCCTTGGTTTAAAGGACTCCACCAGTAACAAATGTATAGAGATTTTTTAGGGCAGGGTTATTTTCTGGTAGGCTTGTCACAAATAGTTACTCGCTTTTTTTTTTTATGGTAGTATGTTTTGGAGCTTTCATTTCCTGATCTTGGTTCTCACATTTTCAGAGATGCAGTTTGTCCAAATTTGATTGCCCATTAGGCATCTCTACTTGGATATTTCACAGACACCTCTAAAGCAACATGTCCCCAGTGGAATTCTCAATCTGCCTCCTTCAAACGAATCACCTTCTCCCCGAGTATTCTGTATCCAGAAGTCATCCTTGACTTCTTGCTGTCCTTCTTCCAAGCTGTTCCCAAGTCCAATTTTCCTTCTTAAATATTTCTTTGGCCCCTTCTGAGTTGTTCTTTACTTAGCAGTAAGAATGGTCATATTTTAACATTTTTTTTTTACGTAATAATCTTTAAAAACACAAATCTGATCATGCCTTTAGAATAAAGGTCAAAATCATTATTATGGCCCTACATGATTTCTCCCTTCCCTGCCCTCTATCATTTATTTTCTTCTACCCAAGCCACTCTGGCTTACTTTTAGTTCTTTGGTACACCTTTTCCCCTAGCTCAGTGGTTCTCAATGAGCATGCCTGCCTTTTTTTTTTTGGACAAATACATTGTAACATCTGCTTTATTATCCTCAAAGTGCAATCCAATAGTAATATACTCTACCTACACATGATTTCAGAAATAAATTTAAAATTAATTAAAATTAACATTAGCATAAAAGGAAAATAAAAGTTACATTACTTGGGCATGACTATATTAGAAGACTTAAGTAATCAGATGTTTACACCTACTTATAATGGGCAAATTTACAAGAAGGTAGACGATCAAAATTGACTTTATACAAAGTATGGGAAAATGAAAAAGCAGGGATAGGAGTGGACCTTAGAATAAAAACTAGTGATGCATAACTTTTTTGAATATGATAGTACTTATAAGAGAAATATCGAAATAGCCTTAATTGAAATAAAGATACTATGCAAGAAAATCTACAGACTGTCGACATGGAGAAAATGAGGAAATATTCTATTTTTTGCAGACGAGCTGTAGGTCATACAGGAATGTCTAGTGAGACATTCAAAATTCGTGTAGGGTGCAGAATAGTTTCTTATTGTGAGGAACTGTCCAGTATGTTGCAAGATGTTCGGCATACTTGGCTCTCATATACTAAGTGCCAATAGCACCCTCTCCTCCCCCCAGTTATAGGGCGACCATAAACCCTATCAGATCTACTCACCCTTTCCAAAGCAGTCACATTTTGTCACATCCCATTTGTTGGCCTGAGAGCACTCCAAGGTGATACAATCTACTTACATACAAGAATTTCTTTAAAAACCCATTTAACACCCCAACTCTGTTAAAATGGAAAAACAGAAAGAAAGAAATCTGTAATGAAACTAAAAGGATTTTCAGTATGTAAATGCTCAGGCATGACTATGCTATCTATCCGACATCATGAAGTAGATATTTACTCCTACTTACAGTGAATAGGTTTGAATTTCAGAGTCGTTCCGAGGCTACTTCTGATAAAGAAGTACAGGAAAATGAAAGATGAGAGGTATGGGTGACTCGAGGATGAAAATCAATGTTAGAGTGAGTCATAACAGACCACATACCTTCTCTGTATGTGGGAAGGGAAAGAGTGCAATTACCTTAACTGGTATAAGGATAACAGATTGTCTAAGAGGGAGGGGCACCTGGGTGGCTCAGTCGTTGGGCGTCTGCCTTTGGCTCAGGTCATGATCCCAGGGTCCTGGTATCGAGTCCCATGTCAGGCTCCCTGCTCCGTGGGAGGCCTGCTTCTCCCTCTCACACTCCCCCTGCTTGTGTTCCCTCTCTTGCTGTGTCTCTCTCTCTGTCAGATAAATAAATAAAATCTTAAAAAAAAAAAAAGATTGTCTAAGAGGGAAAAATGAATGATATTCTCTCCAGCGAGCTGTAGGTCCTACATAAATGTCCAGCAGGACATTAAAGAGGCGAATAGGGTACAGAATAATTCTTCGTTGTGTGGGCCTAACCCATCCACTGCAGGACATCCGTTTTCCCTGGCTGCCTCCACTCAGTGCCAGTAATAGTTCTCACCGATTATGAAGCCAACAACCCATCCACTTCCAAAGTACCACAGTGAGAACCACTGACTTAGTTAATGTCTAGCATCCTCAGATTCACTTACTTTACATAAGGAGTCCTTCTATGGAGTAGATGAGAGGCTTGCTTCCCCAAACCCCAGGTTTTTAAAAAAACGTGTGTCCTCCTTTGTTCATGTTTAGCATCTCTCCAACTTGTGGTTGTCTGCTTTCTGCATTAGAATGTAAGCTCCTCGAGGGCTGAGTCAACCGGTCTTGTTCACTGTACCATACCTGTTACTTCGCTGAGTGTTTGATATGTGGATACCTTGGATACATTGTGTTGAATAAAGTAAGCTCGGCTGTTTACATTCCAGCCGTTGAGTTGTATTTCTTCTTCTTCAAGCATAATTCGAAACTATCCAATAAAGAGAAATATTAATTTTGCCCTGCTGTCTGAATTGACTGTATTTATTTCTAGATATCTCCAAAAAGGTAATCAGCGGCAGACACTAACTTATTCAGTGGGGGCTAGAGGATGTGTTTGCCCCTTCTGGCTTTTTCATTCCAGGACTTGATGACCAAAGAGCTTCAGTAAGAGGCAGGGTGGTGGTGGTGGCATAGCCCACGGTTGGTCGGCACATCTTTTGTCTCAGGGCTTAAAGAAGGAGAGGCTGAAAGCTGTGAATATACCTTTTCTCCTTTGGTCCCAGGGGTGGGTACGGGGCCTGGCTGAAGCACAAAAGGTTAAAAATATCCTATCAGTTCCTCCTTCAAAAGCCCTTCTCCACTCATTCTTTTTGAATCACAAAGCTTTGGATGGAAAGAAAGAGGAAGAAAATCCCTGGAAGGCAGCATAAATTTGATTCAAGTAAAGGTAAAACCCATTGGATTTGAATCTCAATGTAAATAATGTACAGCCAATCCATTGCTCTCGAAGCACCCACGTTCAAACACACAAAAATGCTAGCAAACCAAGCGTGGGCAGATTTGATTTTTTCCCCAACTAGTTATTTTTTCTGTTTGTTTATTGCTTTGTCATCAAAGGCTCCCCACTTTCCAGAAATGTTTGAGAAGATTCTATTTAAAGTCTTAATTTTTTGTTCTACGCTTGGGAAGAGTTGCCATTCGCTGGTTTCTGTGGTGGAAGGAGAGCTAGGGAGCAACGGTTTCAGAGTCCTACCTTTGCCACTGTAGAGATAGCTACCGTAAAGGGCAATGCATGCTTGGGGCTAAACGCGCAGTTAGAGCCACCGGGGCCATGTTGAAGGACGCAGCTGGGAAAGAGCAGGGGAGAACAGGTAGGTTCCATTTAGGTTATAACTGGGATACTAGTGCAGGTCTTCGGAGTGACTTGTTCAAAAGAGATAAGCATGCCTGGAGCAGTCCGCAGTTTATTTGAGAGCTAGCTTCAGAATCTGAGTTGGAGGACATATCAGAACTCACAAGGAACTGCCTGAATCCTAAAAGCTCAACTCCTAAAATACCACTCCAATCTCAGCCTTCTGTGTTTCTCTTTTCCATTCCCTTGTGAATCTTCTTGTCTTCACCCATTTCCTGATGTCTCCCTGTGCCACCTGAAACTACATTCCCCTCTAGTCTGCTCTGGGAACTTTATTTTCCTCCCTTAACATGCTTCTCCATGAAGCTCATTTATTCCCATACTTTAGTTATCACACTTCTGATTCCAGAATCTGTACCTCTGCTGAGGGGTCAAATAACTTACCCAAAGTTTCGTGGCTAATGAGTAACAGAACTAGCATTCCGAACCCCTGGGGTCTAGCTCCAGAACCCACGTATTAACCACACTGATAGGCTTCCTCTCTAAGGGAGCGGTCCCCACTCCTTCCCTCTGACTCCCGCCCCCCGCTTCCCCCATTAACTCCGGCACATACTCCTGATCCCACCTGCACACCTCTCAGAGACTTGTAGCCTGCAGTTCTACCTCCCCACTCAAGTCCGCCATCTTCCTTCAAACATTTCCTGTGGACAGCCCACCCAACACTCCTGGCCTGAGGTCTCTGTAACCTCTTTGTCTTCAACATCTTCACTTCCAGGCATCCACATCCATTGCCCTACTGCTTTGAGAATTGCTGTAGAACTGCTCTTTCTGAAATTGTAAACTAATATATATCCTTCCTCTGCTGAGCGCTTTAGCTCTCTTGCACTCACATTTCCTACATCTGCTTTCTCTACACACATGCAGCCCCTTCTGACCTTCACTTCCTTCCTTACCGACCCCCGAGCCCGTTCAGCACCTGACTGCTCTTTCAGTCAATACTTTCCATCATCCACAACCTATGACCTGACATCCCATCCGTTTGGCAACCTAGCAGAGGATTCATCAAAATCAGTCTCTCTAAACGAGTACTTTCATTTTTGTTTATTTTTTTAACATTGAGTACTTTTAGAGTTAGCAGAGCAGTTTGGATTAATACCACTAGGCATGCCTGGTATTCAAATTTGGCAAAGCCCTCTGCCCGCCCGCCTGTCCTCTGTCCACATTCCCCCGTCTGCACAGGACAGCTGTGTTAAACCTCCACCAGCCTCCTCCCGTGATTCCCCACCCATTCTCCGTTAACAACACAAATGGCTATTGCATCTTTTCTACTTCATCTTAAGCCTACAAACTTGTCTTTCTATGTACTCATCCTTGCTTCTTTTTCTCTTGTCTAAATGGAAGACGTAGTTCTCCTGTCTGAGGTTTATCCTTCCAGTGTCCCGTCTCTCCCACTGCCTTAAGAAAATCACCCACTGAATTATCATTCTTCTCAGCCAAATTTTCAACTTTGCCCTCTTACTGGCTCTGTTCACTTGGCATATAACTGTGCTTGTCTCTCCTACAGTAAAACACCGCTCTCAATCTTATGTCTTCCTCTAATCATTTTATCACTACCTTACCTTTTCAAATAACTTATTTTGAAAAGCTGGACTTCCCCATTTTTTTTTTCTCTTAGCCTACAGAAATCTGCCTTTTCTCATTACACCTCCGAAATAAACTTGCCTAGTTCATCAACACCCTTGTAGGGCCATTTCCTGCAGCATTTTATAACACTGACCATCTTCTTGAAACTTTCTCCAATGTGTGTCCACAAATGACTCTCATTTTTCTCTACCCGCTCTTTATTGGTTTATGTCTTAGACTGGCTTCCCTCAGAAGCAAACGGAAAAGGACTGAATGCAAGCAGCTTATTTGGGAGGTGATCCCAAGAAACACTGGTGGAGAAGTGGGGAGGTAAGAAAGGGAAAGGAAGGCAATAGAGGGCATGTTAATGGGCGGGTTTTAACTGTGGGCAACTGGGGCTCGATGCCACTGACGGGCCTCTGGGAGACTATGGAACAACCTTGAAGTTGTTCCACCTGAGAAATAATGCCCTGGGCTATTTATCCACTATCTGGGAGGAAAAACTCGTCCCAGTGCAAATTTAACTGACAACAGACAGATTAACAGGAGAAAGAAACCTCTAAATTCATCACATGCATCTGGAAATGAAGTGACTCCCTAATTGGTTAAAGATGGGGGTTTACATACTTAAATTAATGGGGGAGAAAAGGCTTCTGTGGGAAGAACAAACGGGTTTCTGGAGGAACAAACAAGATAAGGAAGTTTGTGATAATGTTCATTTATGCAGGTTCCAGTGATCTCCATTTTATTTTTTTCTTCATGACCATAAAACTTCCCCAGAGAGAGGATCTATGGCAGCCTCACCTCCAGAACTTTCTGCTTTTCATGAGATAAGGGAAGCTCCAAGAGGGCTTCCTTCTACATCTGTTGAATCTCAAATGTCTTTAGTTTAAAATAATCTTCATACCAACTCTGGGGGTCTGAGTGGGCTGCCACATCACAAGTCAAGGACTCTTCCTGGAGTGTTAATGCCTTGGAAATTCCAGCCTCCCTTAAATGCTGGCAAGCTTGCTCCTTCAGTGGGGAGAAAGACCTTAATGCAGAGAATCCAGGTGCAAATGCTGAGCGTCACAAGACATAGGCAAGGCATTATGAGCTACTTCCGGTTTCCTTCTGATTTTTCTCTTCCTCCGCTTGCCTCTTCAACATTGCTATTCCTCAAGGTTCCGTTCTCTCACATTTGCTTGACGCACTCTCCATTTTGCTGGGTGCTCTTATCAACTCTCACAGCTTCTGTTACCTAATAATCTGATGTCACTCATCCCTATTCCCCTCATCTTTTGTCGGCCCTACCCCTGTATATACATCTTACCTTGAATTGTCCTACTGAGCATCTTACCTTGAATTGTCCACTGCAGCCGCGACACAATAAAAACAGGTTATAGTCCCTCAAATCCTCTTCTGTTTTTCCTTATCTTGTCTTGCTTTTCTAGAAATCCATTCTTCTCATAGCTGCCAGGGATCTTTCTAAAACACCTCTGCTAAGTATGGCCAGGCACTGTTTTTTAAATTTGGGGACAGAGCAATGAACAAGACAAACCAGGTTCCTGCTTTTACTGCTTGAATTCTACAAATACATAAATAAAGAAGAAGGAAAACTATCAGTGGCAAGTTCCATGTAGAGACTGGCAAACTACTTTCATTGGGAGGTCCAGAGAGGTCTTGCTGAAGAGAAGACATTTAAGCTCAGAGATGAAAGAAGGGAGATATCTAGAGCAGGGGGAAACATTCTGGGCAGAGGGATCCTGACTCCCAGCTGAAATTCCTTCAATGGCTTCCCCACGTCTTCAGCACAGTAAGCTCAAATTTCTAAGCGTCGGGGAGAAGATTTGGCACCTGGCCAGTCAGTCGCCTTCCTCTTTAGCTTCTTTATGTTACATGACATCAACTCACTTCATCCTCAACCACCCTGTAAGACAGCTGCTTGAGTTCCTCCATTGGGTCTTACGTGCCTCTTTGTACTCTGTCGCTGCACTGGCAGGGGCTCAAAAGCTGTCCACGAAATGAGCAAGGTGTTGGGCAGAAAGGACGGCTGCTTAGTAAACAGGTCTAGACTGGTGTGGTCCAACGGAAATAAAGTGAGCCCCATAGGTCATTTAACATTTTCTCATAGCTGCATTAGGAAAGTAGAAGAAACTGATGAATTTGTAAGGACATTTTATTTAAATATCAATCGAGCATGATTAACGAAGTTATTCATGAGATCGTTGGCATTCTAAATCTTCGAAATCCAGGGTGTGTATCTCACACTTATATCGCATCTCAGGTCGAACTGGTCAACATTCCAAGGCCTCGACGGCCACATGCGGCTCGTGGACCTATGCTAGGGCCGCCCAGCCGCGCCCCTTCTACCTCGTAACCTGTTTCATCTTTGCAGTCCTTACGGGCACCCCGGATTCTCTCATTTGCTGGCGTGTCACGACTCCCCCACTATTCAAGGCTCTGCCGGCAACGCCCTCCCCCACCCCCCGCCCCCCCTTGACCCGCGGACGGCACAGAGCAGGCGCTCGGTGAATACAGTCCTCGCCCGGGCCGAGCCCGTGGCTGCCCCGCAGGCCCCCGGGCCCCCCTCCGGCGCCGCCGCCGCGCGCCCTGCCCCACCCCCCGCCCCCGGCCCGGCCCGGGAGCTCGGGGCCGGAGTCGTGGACGTGACTGGGAGGAGTCTGCCCGCCTCAGGTTTCCGTGCTCGGCCGCGGCCATGGCGGAGCCCACGGTGTGCTCCTTCCTCACCAAGGTGCTGTGCGCCAACGGCGGCCGCATGTTCCTGCAGGACCTGCGCGGCAACGTGGAGCTGTCGGAGGCCCGGCTCCGGGACGTGCTGCGCCAGGCCGGGCCCGACCGCTTCCTGCTGCAGGAGGTGGAGACGAGGGAGGGCCTCTGGGACGCCGAGGCCGAGGTGGCGGCCGGCGCGGGCGGCGGCGGCGGCGGCCCCTGCGCCTGGCGGGTGGTGGCCGTGTCCTCCGCGCGCCTCTGCGCCCGCTACCAGCGCGGCGAGTGCCAGGCCTGCGACCAGCTGCACCTCTGCCGCCGCCACATGCTGGGCAAGTGTCCGAACCGCGACTGCTGGTGAGGCGGGCGGCGGGGGCGGCGGCGGGGCGCTCACCGCGCGAGGGGCCGCGGGCCTGACGCGTCCGGCGCGGAGCGGGACCCCGGAGAAATGAGAAAAGGGATCGTTTGTCCGGGGCTGCACCCTCCCCCTCTTGCCCGCCCCCCCCACCACCGAGGGCGGCAGGGAAGCCTCGCGAAGGGGCCCCGGGGGTCCTCCCGGCGAGGCCTCCCCTGAGCTCCCGGCTCCGGTGCGCAATGAGGCCCAAAATCGTCTGTCGCCATCTGGATTTCTTAACTACTGCTCGCCCTCGAATTTCAGCCCCTGCCCGCAGGATCCTCCACAACACAGCCGGGGAAAATCGGGCCTGGGACTTCGGAGTTCATTTACTCCAGTGGTCCTACGGGGGGCTTATTACGGACCCATGAGGTCCATGGACCCTTTACTGAGAGTGCCCTCTCTTTCCACGTAACCTCAGTTTTACCGAAGTGAGTCGGTGCGCTCCAGGGTTAGAAAGCCTGATCTAGAAGGATCCCCCAGGAAACTGAGGGTGGGATGATTTGGGCGAGGTGTTTTAAGGCCGCCTCCTGTCTCTGTCTTCCTTGGTTTACTCAAGCTCCCCAAAGCGGGAGTGGGGGCACACTTTCCTCCTAACCTTGGTGGACTGTGGGAGTGGGCAGCTGTTTGGGGTGGAGAAGGCAAACTAACTCACCTTCGGAACAACAGATGGCATCCTCGGCAAGGCGGGTGACGGGGGGAGGGGGTACCTTTGGCTTTAAAACATCCCGATTTTAAAATGAAAGTGACCTTGGGAGAAGAGTAGATTCAACTCAGCTGTCTTGTCATCAGTGCTTACTTATTAGGCTGTCGTATCTATGGGTTCATGCAAACTTGCTTAACTTCACATGTGAGTTGAAAGCCACCGGAAGCAAGGAATTTGGCGGTCGGGCCCCTCCTTCATCTGGACCTCTGATCCAGAGCTCTGTGTTCTCCTAGGTCTACCTGCACCCTTTCCCATGACATCCACACACCGGTCAACATCCAAGTACTGAAAAACCATGGGCTTTTTGGCCTCAATGAGGCCCAGCTTCGGATCCTGCTTTTACAGAATGACCCGTGTCTTTTACCAGAGGTGAGTTACCAAGAGTTCACCGTCATATTGTCTGCACGGTGAAAGTACTCACGGGAGGATATCAAGAAGTCTGCTTACAGAGGGCAGCAGGTATTTAGGTGGAGGTAATGGTGCAGGGCTGACCTCTATGGGATCTCTGTGATTTTACCAGGCTTTGATACACAGGGAGTGATGGACATGTGTGGTAAAGAAATGATGGTAATAGCTCTTAGTTTTTTGATTGTTTACTGAATGCTGAGCCATTCATATACCTTAGCTCATTAATAACCCCATTTTACAGGTGAGGAAACTGAGGCTCAGATACATTAACTTGCCCAAGGTCACATAGTCCATGGCAGATTTGAATTTAGGTCTGTCTGTGAAGACTGTGTTTTGTGAATTGCCTGTTTATGCTTTTGCCTATGTTGAGGCATTTGTCTTTTTCTATTAATTTATAAGATATCTTTAATGATACCAGTCCCTTTTGTGGTCACATTTGTTGTATTTCCCCCCATTTACTTTTTTTGGGCTTTAGACATTAACTTTAATTGGTTTTGAAATGATTTAGTTCCAGATGCTTAACAGGTGCCTATTAGTATTGTTATCCTGGTGAAATTAGCATGTTTGTATCTGTTTAGCTATACAAGAAGAATTTTTTTTTAAAAATTTGTTTATTTATTTTAGAGAGAGAGCAAGGGGATGGGCAGATGGGGAAGGAGAGAGAATCTCAAGCAGACTCTGCACTGAGCCCGAAGCCCAAACGGGGCTCGATCTCACGACCCTGAGATCAGGACTTGAGCCAAAACCAAGAGTCGGATGCTCAACCGACTGAGCCACCCAGGCGCCCCTAGATGAAGAATTTTTAAAAACAAAATAGTTGTGTAAGACTGATGAATTACAGACCTGTACCCCTGAAACAAATAATACGTTGTATGTTAATAAAAAAAAAGAATCCTAAAAAATAATAGTTGGAATCCCAAAAGAAAATATTATGAGAGCCTACAGGTTGAAAGTAGAATTTTCTACTCTAGCACAATGATGCTATCATAGACATCGAGTTGCCAGAAGAGGGGTGGGAAGAAGGGAGGATGTTGGGAAAATCGAGGGTAGTTTGTGACTGTGGTCCCCTGTTAATGCTAAGGCATTTCAGGCCCTGGAAGGGAAGGGAGTCACAAGGCTGGAGGAATGAGCTAGAGCCTTTGGTTCAGAGGGCGGAGGCTGCCCTCAAGGCAGCAAAATCTGTATGCAGAAGGCGGCACTGGAGTCAGGCTGAAGAGCCAAGAGGTTTATTCTTGACATCCATCTCTTTTCTCATTTCTTCAGGCTTTGAAGCCAGACTTGGTCTGTCATGGTTATAATAAGCCAGATACATTCCAACCATGTTGCCTAAAGGACTCCAAGCAGCACCTGGAGCAGGTTATTGGCAGGAAGGGAGAGGAGAAAGGCAGCAGCTGGGTCCAGTCCTTCCTCTCTCAGAGAGAAGGGGCAGTGACACTTCTAGTACTTAACCTTTTAGTTTTTATGGTATCGTTTGACTTATGGAAGTTTGACATCATTACATTGTTTAACTTATTGAGCCCTTTTCTTTATGGCTTCTCCCTACTGTCCTGGGTCCAGCCTCATCTTGTCATGTCAGACTACTGCAGTTTTGTGAGCAGCCAGTGGGTTGGCTGCACTTACGACAGGGTCCCACCCCTGGTCCTGTCACTCAGGACTGGAGGTGTGTATCACGTGGCACACAGTGTGGCCACTTAGGTAGCAGGGACCATAGACAAGCACAGTGAATGAGGCAGGAATGGTGCCTCACATCTCTTGTAGGAAAATGCCTCATGACCCTTCTCCATCACTCTCCGAAAGACACAGTACATAATACAGATATACCACTTAAGAAAAAGACAATAGGGACAAACATTGTGATCTTGTGATTTATAATGAGAAATAGATTTGGTCTTCATCCCCATTCCTGAAAGAGCTCCTCAAACCCTTGGAATTTCCTAAATGATGAGAGCTATAAAGGTTTCTGTTGTTACTGGTGATTTTTGGAAAGCCCCTAGGTAACCTAAGGATGAGAGCTAGTTGTCAGGAGAACCAGTCTTGTGATTAGACAGTTGTAACTTTTAGCCCTCTGCCCCCCACTCTCCCACTTCCTGGGAGTACAGAGGGGCTTGCTCACTGGGGAGCCTGCTTCTCCCTCTCCCTCTGCTGCTCCCCCTGCTTGTGTGCCCTCTCTCTCTCTCTCTCACACAGACAAATAAATAAATAAAATCTTAAAAAAACAAAAACAAAACCAAACTGATTCAAGAAAAAGTAGAAAGCCAGAATAGTCTTTAAAGATTTTTGAATGACAAAAGCATTAAGATGAAAATTTTAAAACACCATAAAACTAGAGTATTAGTTAAAAAGTCTTCTACTGGAAAACATTAGGCTCATCTAGTTTTATTGTTGAGCTTGATCAAATCTTTAAGGAACAGATGATTTGGGGACTAGGTCTAGGATCTCTTTTTCTTGATCTCCTATGCATTCTTAAACCTGTATCATACTGTTTAATTAAAGTAGTTCATATTTTAATATACGATGGTATAAGTCTCTGTGCCCATTACACTTCTTTTGCAAAAATTATTTTTTGGGGTGCCTGGTTGGCTCAGTGGGTGGAGCACATGACTCTTAGCCTTGGGGTTGTGAGTTTGAGCCCCACGTTGGGTGCAAAGATTACTTAAAAGCTTAATTTTTTTTCTTCAATCAATTGCTTTAAAAAATATAGTGAAAACAAATGTGTTAAGCGCTGTTTCATTTCCGGACCAGGTCTGTTTGCTGTACAACAAAGGTGAAGCACTGTACGGCTACTGCAACCTCAAGGATAAATGCAACAAATTTCATGTGTGCAAATCCTTTGTCAGAGGGGAATGCAGACTTCAGAAATGCAAACGGTCCCATCAGCTCATTCATGCTACAGCCCTGAAGCTGCTGCAGGACCAGGGACTGAATATTCCAAGTGTCGTTAATTTTCAGATCATCTCTACCTACAAGCACATGAAGCTGCACAAGATGCTCGAAAATCAAGGTGAGAACATCAGAGGGAGACAGGGCACTATTATGTGTACTTTTGGCCAGGAAGTCTGGGGGAGAGCACCTCATGTGGTAAGTTTTGCTCTGTTTTTGGGGAAACTTAGAACCGCCAACATTTTATGATGTAAAACTGTGGTTCTAACCAAAGGAGGGAAGGGATAGAGTTTATTTTCAGTGCTGTCAGCCAACAGCATCTGCCCAGGGGTTTGAACAGTGTCCCTCCTTGCTAAGCTGGGGGCCAGGAACTAGGTACAACCGTCCTCACAGCTTTGTTAGGAAGAAAGAGGAGGGAGGTGGGCCAGTGGGCAAGAAAGGGAAGGAAAACATAGGAATGGCTTTCTTTTATTAAATTTGAATTAAAGTGTTTTCTTCTTTCTTTATTTTTCTTGAGGTAATTAACATCCAGCATTATGTAAGTTTCAGATGGACCGCATGATTCAGTATTTGTGTATACTGCAAAATGATCATAATAAGTCGAGCTAACATCTGTCATCATACATAGTTACAAAGTTTTTCTTGTAATAACTTATTTTTTTTAAAGATTTTATTTATTTATTTGACAGAGAGAGACACAGCGAGAGCGGGAACACAAGCAGGGGGAGTGGGAGAGGGAGAAGCACGCTTCCCGCTGAGTAAGGAGCCCGACGTGGGGCTCGATCCCAGGACCCTGGGATCATGTCCTGAGCCAAGGCAGACACTTAACAACTGAGCCACCCAGGTGCCCCTTGTAATAGCTTTTAAAAAAGTATTTTCTTTTGGGGCACCTGGGTGGTGCAGTTGGTTAATCGTCTGGTTTTGGCTCAGGTCATGATCTCAGGGTCATGGGATCCAGCCTGCATGAGGCTCCGCACTCAGCAGAGGGTCTGCTTGGGATTCTCTCTCCCTCTGCCCCTCCTGCTCATGCTCACTCTCTCTCTGAAATAAATAAATAAATCTTTAAAAAAAAGAAAGTATTTTCTTTTTCAGTTGTTAAGAAATTTTAACCATATAAAATAGGAGAGACATAAATTGCATATGATTCCACTCATTCTATCCATAATCATTAGTACCATTTAACTGCAGGCCCTTCCCTGCTGTTACTCTACAAATACCAGTTGTGGTCATAGTATGCATTAGTATCTTAAATTTTCACTTTATACAACATCATAAACATCTTCCCATATTGCTGCATATTCTTTCATTTTTTAAGGTCTGCAAAGTGTGGTCTGGTGTACTTTTAATTATAGTGCATTCAGGTTACTTATCCTATTAGATTTGCTTATAGCTGAAAATCAGTGGGAGTTAGTCTCAGGAAAATTGTTGATGGGAAAACCAAATCAGCAAAACCAGAGTCTCCAAGCTTTCAATACAGAGTTTTCTTTTGGTTTTTTTTTTTTTTTAAAGATGTTATTTATTTATTTGACAGAGAGAGAGAGAGTGCACAAGCAGGGGGAGTGGCAGGGAGAGGGAGAGGGAGAAGCAGGCTTTCTGCTGAGCGGGGAGCATGTCGTGGGCCTCGATCCCAGGACCCTGGGATTATGACCTGAGCTGAAGGCAGATGCTTAAGCAACTAAGCCACCTAGGCGCCCCTTGATACAGAGTTTTCTTATGTTGGGATGGTAGAGGCTGACTTCCTGCACGGGTGGTTTGGAGGTAGTACCAGAGGCTGTCTGGGGGACCCTGGATGGTGGCAGGGATCTTCTATACTAGTACAGAGCCTGTCATTACCTTCATCTGGTCTTGTTTAGTGGGTCTCTCCTAACTGAAGTCTCTCTTAACTGAAGTCACTGAAATAGGGAAATTCTGCTGTGTGTGTGTGTGTGTGTGTGTGTGTAAAATAAATCCAGAAGACACACACTCTCCAAATCCATATTGCTGGGACTTTTGTCTGAGATCTGATTTGCGGGGCTGATGCTCCTGACATAAAATGAAATTGAGAGCAACAAAAGGGGTGTCTCAGGAAAGCTCATCTCTCTCCTCTTTCTTTTTAGATAATGCAGGTTCTTCTGCTGAGTGTTCCCAGGGCCCCGAGAAAGCAGGAGTACATGTGGCTGGTGCTGCAGAGGCCAGTCCTGTGGCTTCCGTGCCTGCTCAGTCAGTCAAGAAGCCACACGCAGCTAAACCGTAAGGGACGTCCGTGAAATAAGATGCTTGTCCAGTTGGAAGGTCCGAAAACAAAGCTTCTGTTGAGCTTTATTTGTAAGTTCCTTCATGTAATCACTTATCAATAACGGTCATGGTAATACCTACCTCACATGTTGTAAAAATTAAAGAAGACGGAGAAGGGGAGAACATCGGGTTGGGAGGATAACATTGGGGATGGGTGGTTGGGGATGTGGTGGGACGTTGAGCAGGCAGAGAGGGGATAGCGTGAGTATGGTTCGGGTCAGTCCAGGGCAAGCTCTGAAGATGGCAGGTTCTGCCTGTAGTCCCTGACCTCTCCCCCAGGCTGACGGGAGCTCTGAGAGGGGCAGGTTTGGGCTGACTTGCTCTGTGACCCAGCCAGTGTTTTTCTACACGGTTTACATAGTGGTCATTAGAGACTATGGACACTTTGTACTCTTGTTTTTTCTTCATGTTTCATAAGCATCCTTCCCTGTTCACATTTTATCAGGTATAACCATTTTTATGCACAGATACGCTAACATATAATCATTTACTTAACGACTTCCCTTATTCTGGATATTTCAGTTCTTTCTAACAAATTTTGAATAGAACCCTTTTCTTAAAATCCTCACAATATTGAATTTTTAAATTTCTTCTTTTGCTCAGCTTGTTGGTGCTAAATGATACTGTTTTTTTGATTTGCATTTCTTTAAGTATATGCAAGTGAATATTTTTCTGTGTGTGTGCCTTCTGTATGTTTTTTTGTGTGTGTGTGTGCATTTTGTGCCTGCCCTCCTGGGGCCCTCCTCCGTGCTGATGTGGGATGGCCTTTAATTAGGTTACTTAATTTTCCTAAAAGGATATCAATCGTACCATGCTCATATGATATCCAACTCTTCATGGATCCATCCTCAGCCAGTACCACAGAGTTTATAACTGTTGAGTGCTCACCAAAGATTTCTACCTCACTGTGTCTACTCTGCATTTCTTATTAAATTTTTCGCCAAAGCCCCCATTGCTATAGGGTCGTCCATCCATTCCTCAAAGTTGTACCCATTCTTTCTGTGGATCTGGAGGGACCATCAGAAACCTATATACCTTGTCTGTTTTGTGTTGACTTTCCTCCCTTCTCCTGTCCCCACCACCTGGCTTTCTTATCCAGTTACACTTAGATGTTTGGTTTTTTGTTTTCATCAGAGGGTACCACAGAGAAGCTGCGTTATGACATCTTTTTCCGTGTTTGCTTTTCTGATATCCCCAAATGTTGATGTGTAAAGTGTTGTTGTGTTTTTTTTAAATTTTAACTTCCCTGCAATAACATAATATTTGAGAAATAGGGACAAGGGAATGAGTTTTTCATAAAGCTGAATTAATTTAGTGTAGAACCATGTTTTAGCCTGAAATGCTGTCTTCTCTATGGGAGGGAGGTGTGCCAAAATATCCTTTTCAAAGGGAGAAATTGCTGTGTTTTCTCCCACTGGACAGGAAGAGTCATGCTGCTTCTGTGAATCTTTTCACTTTGGTTGTCCACAACAGTATTTCTGAAGGCCTTATGTTCTGCATACCTTGTTTCCTTTTTCCTAGTTCTGATTTCTCCTGGTGCTAATTTAAAAAAAAAATTATTTTTACATTGTATTATTATTTACATTTTATCCCTTTCCTATGTGTATTTTTGCTGTAGGCCATCTTACATTCTTAATGGGAACAGTGTAGGGTGCACATGTATATCCTGGACATTAAGAGACTTGGTAGACTTTTACAGAATTGTGTTATTTTCATATATCTTCTAAGTATGCTTTTATATGCATCAAAATGACCCTCTGTAATCTTTGTTGCAATATTTTATTCCATTCTGTAATATTCCATTTAAAGCTTAGCTCTGTTAGTATCCATTCTGTAAAGATATTTTATATAATCCTACTTGACCCTCATTTTCATCTCATGATTAGAACTGGAGGTGAGTTTTCTTTGGTCATTTATCAAGGCTTTCAGGGGACGCTGCACATTTGTAGGCTCCACAAACCCAACATACCCTCAGTGAAATGACGAACTTTCCTATAGACTTGTTCCTCCTCTGGTTTCTTTATTTTGGAGTGTCACCTCCTACTGACTTAAAACGAAACCCTGCAAATTGCCCCATCCTCTTCTTTTTCCTGGTTCCTGGTGCCAAACTCGTTACCTAGTGTTGGCGATTAGCTTCCCTTCAGAAATCTCAAATTTGTATCCTTCCCTGCCCCTTTCTTTCCATCCCGGACACACTGCCTTCTTTCTAATCCTCTTCACCTCTTGCGTGAATTGCACAGATGGGGGATTCACTGGTTTTCCAGTCCTGTCTCGTGGGAGTATTTTTTATAGGAGGGTCTGGGTGGCCCCCTGCCCTCCTTCAGTGATGGCAGGCCCGTTTTAAATTTTTTGTGAAGTGGGCTTTTGATGGATTTCACTGATCTCCTTACCACCCTGTACCCCCCTGCCTTCCATCCTGTGTCTGGCTGATCTTTTGAAATGCAGACCTAATCACATTGCTTTGGTCTGCTGTAACCTTCATTGGTACCCATAATGCAAGGTAGGACTCATAAACTCAGGTGCCTTCTTGGATGAGATAGGGGAGCTGAGTGGATGATGTGAGCTGGATGTAGGAGAAACGGGAGGAAAAAGGAAGTGTCATAGAAAGTTGTCCCATCTGAGTGGGCCCATTTTGTCGTGTTCTCCAGTTAATCGAAAGAAGCCAGATCCAGATTTTATGATAAAATTTCAGATTTTTAAATACTGGCTTTTTGACTGAGTTTTAAAAATGCAGACCAATATTGTGTGTACTGACCTATTTGCAATCTTTGGAATGTGCCATTTTATTTTATGATTCTCTGTGCTTGTAAATGATGTTCCCATTAAGTGCTACGCCTTCCCTCTTCCTGCCTCAAAACCTGGCAAAATCAGATTCTTTAAAATGCTAGGCTAATCTTTTCTGACCCCAAGAAGGGCAGTTCTCTTAGTGTTCTCAAAGTTCTTGCATAGCACTTAATTTGCCATGCTTTCTGCTTTTATTCCCTAACTTTGAGCAAAAACAAAACCATTATTTCTTCTTTTTGGGCAAGTCTCCAAAAAAGAAGAATTTTTTGTCATATAACGAATCAAACTCTGTGTTTGAATCCATGGAATCAGTATCATATTGGTCTTCATTGTTCTTTTTTCTCCCCATATATATTTTTCATTTTCAAAAAGTCTTTTTCCCTTAAAGAGTGTGTTATTTAAGGTAAACATCTTTTTGGTGCTTCAGTTTGAATCATCTAGGTCTAAAATTAACTGTTTAAGACTTATGCTTATGATACTAATCTTTCCATCAAGGAATTAAGTCTTTTCATTGCTGATGGGTTCCTTGATTTCTTTCATTATAATCTGTTCTTATTTTTGTCTAGCCTTATATATCCCTTATTACATTGATTTTTTTTTTCTTGGCTACACACATCTGTATTGCTATCCATATGGGAATCTCCATCTTTAGAATGCTATTGATTTTTAAAATATTTGTTTTTTGTTGAATTACCTTTGTCCTAACAGTGTTAGAAGGTCTCTTTGTTTCTTCTAAATATAAAATCATAGCTGCAAAAAGATTTGCCTTTTCTTATGTATTTCTATTTTGTTTTGTGTTAAATAAAATTGTGGTGAAAAGATATTTTTTTAAATAATTTTTTTATTGTTATATTAACCACCATACATTACATCATTAGTTTTTGATACAGTGTTCCATGATTCATTGTTTGTGCATAACACCCAGTGCTCCACACAGAATGTGCCCCTTTAATACCCATCACCAGGCTAACCCATCCCCCCACCCTCCTCCCCTCTAGAACCCTCAGTTTGTTTTCAGAGTCCATCGTCTCTAATGGTTCGTCTCCCCCTCTGACTTACTCCCCTTCATTCTTCCCCTCCTGCTATCTTCTTCTTCTTCTTCTTTTTGAAAAGATATTTTTTATATTTCTTCATTAAATAGGAAGTTAATTGTTGGTTTTAAACAAATGTTCTCTATTTAATAAGGGAAATTACATTTATTGTTTGTTAGAAGGTTTTAGTAAGAATTGGTATCTTTTGCATAATCATGTAATTTTTATCACTTAAATCACCTAATATGATTATATTACTGGTTTTACTATATTAAAACATTCTTAAATTCTGAGTAACTCTACTTGATTATGGCATATGCTCTTTCAGTGTATTGCTTTTCCCTTTTTTGGTCATTTTTATAATTATATACATCTATACATTCATAAATAAAATTCATTTATATTTTATATGTGTATGTAATTTCCTTCTTATTTGTACTGCTGTATGCTCAAAGTATACATTTTATTCTAAGTCCTGTTCTGAGTTTTGCAAATTGATTTATAATGTCATTATTATTTAAAATTTTTTTCTAGCTTTATTGAGGTATTATTTGACATATAACATTGTATAAGTTTAAGGCCTATAAGGTGATGATTTGATACATGTATATCATGTGAAATGATTATCACAATAAGTTTAGTTAGCACATCCATCATCTCACATTCATTTTTATTTATTTTTTTTTCTCAAGATTTTATTTCTTTATTTGACAGTGAGAGAGAGAGCACAAGCAGGGGGCGGGGCAGAGGGAGAGGGAGAAGCAGGCTCCCCGCCGAGCAGGGAACCCAGCGTGGGGCTTGATGCCAGGGTCCTGGGATCATGACCTGAGCCGAAGGCAGCTTCTTAACCAACGGAGCCACCCAGGCGTCCCTCATTTTTATTTTTAAAGTAATGTATTACGCAGAGTGCCTGGGTGGCTCCGTTGGTTAAGAAGCTGCCTTCGGCTCAGGTCATGATCTCAGGGACCTGGGATCGAGCCCCACGTCGGGCTCCCTGCTCGGCGGGGAGCCTGCTTCTCCCTCTCCCTCTGCCCCTACCCCCGCTTGTGCTCTCTCTCTCAAATAAATAAATAAAATCTTAAAAAAAAAATAACGTATTACTATATCCTTGAATTTCTCTATTCTTATTTAGGAATATTTTTCA